CGGCTGATGGGCCAGAAGGGAGGCGGCAGCCCGCGAAAGAGATAAACAAATTTTCTAATTATATTTTCAATGAATTTTCAAATATCAGTTTTCAAGTACCATTTTGAGCAAGAAAATGACTTCTTTTGAAAATAGCCCAAAAATAAAAGTTGCTTAGAATTTAGTCCTCTACAACTTTGCTTTAGGGACCAACTAAAAATTTTACATAGATTTTGAATTGGGAAGTAAAAGCTAAATAGAGAGGATTTTTGACCCTTTCCAATAATAATTTCAAAAGCATATTTTGTCAAAAGTTTGAATACAAACTTTGCTCCAAAAATTGCGCTAAATAATTCTAGACGATTTACAATCATAGCCAAACATGTTTTACTAACCTAGCAAGCATAATCATGGCAAAACAACTCTAAACAAGTGTATGCAACATTCATGTTTCACGAGCATGTTTCGTATGTTTCGAAGCAGGGTTTCAGTTATTATTTACATGATTAGGCATGTATGATTAGGATGTTTGATGATGCATGATATGTATGATTTACAGTGCCTAAATGCTGACATAACACCGGGGTGTTACAGCGTCGTCCGCGGACAGTGATTCGCGTCTCGCATCACCGCCGCACAGGTGGAGTCGAGGTCGAGGAGAGCGCGTATCGGTGTGTTCATGTCACCCGTGGACTGGCCGGGTGGGGATAGCTTCTCGTGGTCGCAGATGCCAACTGCGTCCTTGGGCAGGCTGACAACGTTGCTGAGCCTTGATTGATAACATGTCAAATACATATACTTGTGTTGTGTACATACCTTAGGGTGGGCCCCTTGGAGTTGGGGGCCCAGGGCGGCCGCCCCGCTTGCCCGCCCCCAGGGCCGGCCCTGGGTCTGGTAGTGTACAATATATTTTTCGTATAGCCTCTCTATCTGAGTTCATATATAGGATAAAATGCTAAATCTAATTTGGAACATGACTGCATAGGTAATAAGTATCATGCATGCCAAAAAAGAGTCATGGAGATATCTATGTTGTCTTTGCACTCCTTCGTGGTCTTTATGTTTGACTATTGACTGTTTTTATGCATATATTTGACCACTAATTTTTTAAATACTTTATAAGTATTTTTTGGTATAAATTATACACATGTAAGTAACATACATATTTCCAAAATAAATAATTTAAAAGTTGAGGATGATTGTAGTTTATGTGGTTTGACTAAATCCTATCTAAAACGATATATTTCCATGACAATCAGTATTACATATCAATGTCATGAGTTGGCATCGATGGTCACAATATATCTATTATTGTGTATAAGGGCTTGTTTGAATCATCTGGAACTAAAATTTTTAGTTGGACTAAAGTTTAGTCACTTAAAGTTTAGTTGGTGGTGTTTAGACCAAATAAACTATAGGTGACTCATGCTTGATTAGGCTACATGTGAGATATGAGAGAGAGGAAGGAAGGTGAGAGGGCATTTATGCCTTCTCGCGTTTTGTGTTAATTTTTAAGTTCAACTTAGCTCAAGTTTGCCGGGAGTAGTGAACTAATAAGGTGTCGTTTGGATGACTAGGGATTCTAGAAATCTGAATTATTTAGCGCGAAGCAGATCCTAAGATTTTTGAGTAATATTAAGACTTTTCAGAATCTGTCTTACTATCTCCCCCGATTGGATGGTGTATAGTTTTTTTTTTATCAAAATTCTAAATTCTTTAACTTAATCAAACGGGGTCTAGCTTGTTGGAGTTGGACTAGTATACCCATCAGTTCGTCTGTTTGGATGAACTTTAGCTAAAATTTAGATGAAATAGCGTTGAAATTTTCTTTATACAATGGAAGCTTTATTACGCCTCAGCAAGATCATTATTGTCGATGGTTGTTTTTAGCCACCCGATCCATTATTCCGAAAAAAAGAATGTTGTTTTGGAAGGAAACTTGTCACGCGCAAAACGAGAAACCAATGACGTGAACATTCGCGTGCTGCTGCTGGTGTATTTGTCCAGCAACTTCGTTCTTAATTGGGGTCGGTTCCTATTGAGCTCAACTTCAAAGCTCAAACCCGTGCTTTGACCTGCTAGCCTTGCTCTGCGCTGCACCTGGACGCCTACGTCTCTCCAGGCCTCCAGGGTTGGTGAGCGTACGGACTAACAGCCTGTTCGTTTTGGCTGGATTGGTTTATGAGCCATGACTGAAAGTACTGCTAGCTGATTTGGTGTAAGAGGAAAACACTGTTGGCTGGCTCTGCCGAACAGGCTGTAAACTACAAGTCAGCCTTGCTTTGACCAGCTGAGCTGGGTGTGATGTTCTCGGCTGTGGATCGGAACCGGACGAAATTCGGTGAGCTCACGTACAAGCTGGGAGCTCGGCTACGTGCAGCATATCAGCACGTGCGATCCGGCCTTTTCGTTTGGTGTCTGTGCTCGGCACAAGATACTGGGACGACGCAGCATCTTGGATAAACTAATCGTGTGTAATTAACCATCGCAATCCGTTTCAGAACCAGGGAAATCGAGGCGGAATTATGGTTGTTGGACACATCGGCGCCGGCCGGGACGGTGGTTGGCTCTTGGCTGGTTGGCGGCCCCGAGCTAGGCGCCGGCGCCGGCGCCGCGCGTATGCATACGGCACATGCGTAGCGAGCGAGACGGGCGAGTATTAGCGCAGCGGTTAACCGTCGCGATCGGCGTCGCCGCGACCTCGCCGACCTGGCTTGGCTTCGCTCCTGTTCTGTCTGTTCCAGGCCTGCTCCCAGCTCCCCCACCGTCGTCGCGATCAGCGGCACATGCGTGCGTGCGTTGTTGGCTGTCCTCTGGCGCTCCTTTAGCTAGCGCGCACGCATCGGCATCGCCGCCGCGCGGGGCCGGGGGGTCGTGGCGGACCCGCGAGAGGCGCCGCCGTCGGCAGAGATGGGGCAACTGTCAAAACTGGGCATGGGATCGAGTGATCGACCGCGCGGCTGGCGCCTGGCGGCAACCGTCAAGGATCGAGGTGTGCCGCGAGACTGGAGCGGCGTACGTGTACGTGACGTGCACACGTGAAAAGTCGCGTGCGCCATGCCTAGCTAGGGAGGGTATCTGTGCGGTGTGCCGTGTGCGGCATGTTTTCGGCATGCTTTGGTCTTGCGTGGAGTGGAGGCGCGGGCCTAGCGGGGGACAGCTCGGGTGACGGTGGGTGGGCCGAAGTTTGTGTTGCGTTGCGTGGCAGGAACTGTGGGTTTTCAGCGGTGTGTTTTGTAGGCCGTTTCTGCACAACAAACTCAGTGCTAGTTGCCGGGCCTGGCGCAGAACGGCCTCCGGAAACTGGGCTGCTAGCCTAATAGCCCCAGGACTCTCATAGGGATCCTGCATTCCTGCTGTACGCTTCGGCTCTGCAGGTACACGCTTCAGCAATTATGGATGGCAACGGGCACGTTACCCACGAATAGAGGTTTTACAAACCAGTACCCGCAAGGCAAACCTTGTGCCCGCACCTGCGCCCGCGATCCATCACGGTCACGAAATTGAACCCGCACCCGTCACCCGTGGGCACAGTGTATCTACGGGCACACCCGTGCCTGCCAACCAGATCACTAATTTACAGTTCGCAATCACAAACCTATACAGATCACAGATCCAATACACAACCACACAAATTCACAAATAACAGTTCACAACTATTGTTCAACATCTTAATAATAAGAGTACAAGCCAAATAAATATGATTCAACAAGCACAAGTGACAAGTCTAGAACATCACACACATGGCTCAAATCACACAAATATTGTTGACATAACAGATACAAATGAACAGCAAGCTTAATCAGAGTCGACGGTAGAGATGCAAGGTTCTTCCTTCATTTCTTCTCCGATGTCTTCAAGGCAAGACCAAAAAGTGTCAATCTTTTCATCATCTTGACCTACAAATACACATTGGAATAAGAAGATGACATTAGTAAGCTGCAGTCATAAGATCATTAGAATGAGATGACAACATTGACAAGTCTGCGAAATCAAAAGCATAATTCTTTACCTTTAAGATTGTGACAAAACCAACTTTGGTTTTGCACATCAAAGCTTCCAACATTTGTGGAGTAAGGCGGTGCGATGCTCACTTATAACCCTCCCACTAGTGCTAAAAGCGGATTCGGAAGCTACTGTGGTTATGGGAATTGTCAAAATATCACGAGCAATCAACCTCAAAGTAGAGAAGCGAGCTCCAGCCACCTTCCACCAATCCAAGACATCAAAGTACTTATTCTCATCATGAGGAAGAGGATTTTCGTCCAAGTATCGATCTAACTCACTCTTTGATTTAACAAGACTTGAGGTCTTCTTAGTGGCAGCAAGTATTTTGAATATGGACAAAACAACAGAAGTGTAGTTCATGGATCTATCATTCTACTAAATAAAGAATGAAGAAAAAGTGAGAGGACAGTGACTAACCTAGGACGGCGACGAGAATACAGGCGGCAGGCGGAGCGCCCTTGTTGGCAGCGGGCGCCGGGCGGTGGACCGGGTGGCGGCGGGGAGGTGGGCGACTAGGCGGGGGCCAGGGAGAGCGGTGGCGGCAGGGAGGTGGTAGCGGGGGGAGCGAGGGGGGGGGCGAAAAAAGTGGCGGCGGGGAGGTGGTGGTCGACGGGAAGGGATGGCCGACGGCGGTTGACGGCCGGAGGGGAACTGGCGGCGGCCGCCTGGGCGTAAGGCGTGGGAGGCTGGGAGCGGTCGAGCGAAAGCCGAGGGAGGGGTCACTTGCCGCTTCTGACTGACGTCTGGGAGGCCGGATTGCGGCTGTGCGGGGGAGGATAAGGGGAACCTTAGAAAGTCCTTTATACTCCTGTACTTGTGCAGCAAGCCCACATGTCAAGTGGGTTTACGGGCACAGGTAAGGTATTTTCATACCCACAAAAATTTTATCTACGGACACAAAATCAAACCCGTACTTATGCTGTAGGTATAAAATGGTATCCGTATCCTCACACCTATGGGTTTTTACCCACGGGGACGCGGCTAATTTTTACCCGTTGCCATCCATACCAGTAATGGCGACCAGAGCGCTATCCTTCTCCTCGCTCGCCTCCACGGTCTTCGCCTCCCTGCCGCGGCCCTCACCTTCGCCTCCCCTCCTCCTCCTTCTTGGTCCTCGCCCCCGCGCCTCCTCTCTCTCCACCGCCGCTGCCGCTGCTCCCGACGACGAGGACGGCGTCGACACCGTGGAGCAGCTCCTGCACCCGCGCCCGCCCGCCGCCTCCTCCGGCTCCCGCGGCCGGATCGACCGCCTCATGAAGCTGCAGCGCCGCGCCGGCGGCGACGCCGTGCCCGGGGCGGCGGGGCCCGGGGGCCGGAGGAGGTGGTTCCCGTACCTGGACGCGTTCCGGCCCGCGGCGGCCGGGGGCGCGGAGCTGTGCAGCGGGGAGGTCATCGAGGTGCTGGAGCCGCGCATCCTCGAGGCGCGGCGGGACCGGATTCGACGAGCCGTTGGCAACCGGAGCTACGCCGTTTGCCTTGTGGTGGAAGGCCTCTCCGACTTCGGCAACGTCTCGGCCGCGTTCCGCTCCGCCGATGCGCTCGGCGTGCAGTCCGTGCACGTCATATCCTGTGATGCAGCAAAAGGTGCAGAGGTGAAGAGTGAACCTAAATTGCTGTATAACACTGAGTAGTTTGCATAATAAATTGCCTGCTCTATTTTGAGGTGCCAGATAGGTGATAGGTATTGTGTTTGGGTTCGTGCATTTTGTTTACTTAATTCAATGAGCTTGAACTACATGATTTACTTTATGCATTGTGTTTGGGTAGACTATGCTGTTGCATTTTAGAACTGTGAAAAGGTCCCTACATAAACAGATTGATCTGCATTCTTAAAGTTGACAGATTGGCTACTGGATCTGTACTCTCGCTAATTAGTTCTCATTCTCAACTTGGATGGATCATGAAAGGATTTTTTTTTGCAGATTACTATTATACTAGTGTTTTCACAATGATCGTGTGTTCTGTTTAGAATTTTTAACATATAGGAGTATACTGAGGAGTTGTTAAACTAGATATCCATTAAGGGTGAAAATTCACCAGTTTGACATTACATCCTTTGGAAATGATAACATTACATCCTTTGGAAATGATAGGTTCCACTCAAGTAAACTGTTCTTCCTCATTCAAATACTTCTTTACTTTTGCAGGTATAGAGACAACAGGCATGTGAGCATGGGTGCTGAGAAATGGCTTGACATTGAGATATGGAACTCACCTGCAGAATGTTTCAGTGCATTAAAAAAGCGTGGTTATCGCATTGCGACCACTTATTTGGGAATTGATTCGGTATTTTTTCACTCTTCAACATTTTAGTGATTTGGTATTTTTTTACTCTTCTACATCTTTTGTCATGTACGGCCGGACCTATACCAGGAGGCGCCGGGCCCGTGACATCGGTAAGCTTGTGAAGGCCAGCGCCCAGTAAATCACCAGACCTTGCCTGTGGTTGGCCGAGCCTTCTAGTGGCTAATATAGGCAATAGTTGTTAGTATATCCCTAAGATTGAGGAGGATTAGTTACTATTTTTATTCCATCAAGGATTATATATTTCCCCAGATGCTTTTTGTGGAGGATAAGAAAGATATAAACCAATCATCTTCTTCCTCCCAACTCTCAAGCCTAGGTCGGCGAGGGGTATAACCTCGCCCTAGAAGGCGGATCGCGGCTCTTAATTACGTGGCAGGTCCGACCTACTCAAGGTTTGGCGCCTTGACAACTCCGGTATCACGATCCCGGCGATCCTCTTCTTTCCGCGCGCTCGGCCGCCGACCACCCACTCCACCTCCCGATCCGGCCACCATCACCGTGTCCTCCTCAAGGCGCCCGGCTGTGGCGACGATCTAAGGTCCACCGTTGAGTGAGTCGCTCATGGCGATCCCAAATACTGCAGACCACCGTCGAGGCCAACGCGACGGCGATCACAACCCTTTCCATCGATGATCGCTCGTCATCCTCGGGCTCCAAGCAAGCCGAGGCGTCCCTTCCATCGATCGTCCTCCTAAATTCCGGAAGATGGATTTCCCCAAATGCGATGGCAAATCCGATCCACGATCTTTCTCAATCGCTGCGAATCCTACTTCCACCAACGAACGGATCATGGAGGAGGAGAAGGTTTGGATGGCCTCTTACAACTTTGGAGGACGGGGGCGATGATGTGGTACATCCAAGTCGAGACGGACGAGGGTACTCCATCATGGCGCCGATTCAAAGGAGCTCATCAACTGCTGATGCAGCCCGCCCTGCGGTCCGCGCCTCTATTCGAAACTTCGGCGATTGCCGCCGCGCAAATCCGTCGCCGACTATCGAGATCGGTTCCGGTAGCTGCTGCCACGGGTCGGGGCTCCTCGGCGAAGCCTTGCCGCGTCCAACTCTTCACCGGCGGACTCACGCCCCGCTTAACCTCGGCGTGCGGTGCACAACCCCGATCCTGGCGGCGGCGCGATGAGTTTGGCCGCCCGGTGAATCGCGAGAGCGATTCACGGCGCCCTCGACCACACCGTTAGCAGCGCGGCGCTGGCCCGTCAGCTTGACCCCCGGCCCCGTCTCTCTTTGCCGCCGCCGGCGACCACCTCTCCACCGGTGCCATCGAGGGTCGACCACCGATCAAGCGGTGACGTCGGCCGAAAGCGGAAAAACGTCGCCGTCTCGGCCTCTGCTACAAGCTACGACGAAGTTCTTCCGTAGCCATAACCGGTCTGCAAGCGCCTCTTCTTCTGGGCGGCACCGTGGAGGGGGCGGCGACACGGAGGAGCCCACCGAGGAGGCGAGCTCGAGGAGTCGCCCGCTTTCTCCCTGCGCAGCCATCGCCGGTGTCCGCCTCGGCGACACCATGCGAGTCCACGCCCACTGGCGCCACTTTCCCTCGTCGCGCTTTTGGACTCGGGTCCACGCACAACTTCATCTCGGACGACGGCGCGGCTCACGGCCCCTCTCCAGCTCCGGCCCGACCACGCCTCACCGCCACCGCCGCAGCGGGAGGCGCGTGTCGTCGTCTTGGGCATCGCTTCATGCAACGCGGCGTTCTCCATCCACAACCACGCCATTTTGCGCCGACCTCTATGTCATGCCTCTCGCCGGCTTCGACATGGTCCTAGGGACCCAATGCACAACGCTTTGGGGCCCATTGTTTGGGATTTCGGCACCAGCATCTTGTCTCCTTCCATTTCGAGGGCGCGGTTGTCTTTGGAAATGATCTGCTAGGGCCGACCACGACCGGTGCCCACGTCACCCGAACCACGACGCCTCTGTTGGGCGAGCCGCTCGAGAGCTTCTCCGACCTTCTTCGCCGAGCCGAGTGGTGCCGCCTCCTCCTCGAAAGCGGCGACAACCACATCGCCCCTCGGCCGGGTCCCGGCCGGGTGGCCGTGCGCCCATACCGCTAATGCGACCACGCACAAGGATGAACTGGAGCGGCGATGCGCCGCCATGCTTCAAAGAAGGGCTCATTCGGCGGAGCTTCGTCGGCGTTCTCGTTCCGGTCCTCGTCAAGAAGGCGGATGGCTCTGGCGCCTCTGCGTCGACTACCGCGCCACGAACGCCATCACGATCAAGGGCGCCTTCCGATCCTGGTGGTCGATGAGTCGCTTTCGACGAGCTACACGGCGCAAAATTCTTCACCAAGTTCGACCTCGTTCGGCTATCACCAAGTCCGGATGGCGCGCCGAGGATATCTTCAAGACCGCTTTCCGCACACACGGGGTCAGACGAGTTCTGGTGATGCCGTTTAGCCTCTGCACGCCTCAGCACCACATTCGGTGACGATGAACGACGCCCTTCGCGCTTTCCTCCGCCGGTTCGTCCTCGTATTTTTTGGCGACATTACGATCTGATGCGTCTGGCGGATCACCTTCGCCACCTCCGCGTCGTTCTCTCCGTCCTGCGCCACCACCGCCTCGTCGTCAAGCAATCCAAGTGCGCGTTCGGCGTCACCTCCATCGCCTACCTCGGCCACATCATCTCCGACGCCGGCGTAGCCATGGATCCTGCAAAGGTGCAGGCGGTCCTCGGCCCGGCCCGACCCGCTTTCGGCGCGTGCATTGCGCGGGTTCCTGGGCCTCGCGGGCTACTACCGCAAATTCGTCCACAACTATGGCGCGATCGCGGCGCCTCTCACCGCGCTCTTGAAGAAGGAGGGCTTCATCTGGTCCGAGGAGGCCGCCACGGCGCTCTCGGCCCTCAAGGCCGCGGTGACATCCGCGCCCGATGTTATTGCCCGACTTTTGCCCGGTAGTTCGTAAATCGAGTGCGCGACGCGTCGACACACGGTTTGGGCGGTGCTCATCGAGGACAAGCATCCCATCGCCTACTTCAGCAGGCCGGTTGCTCCTCGCCACCGCTCCCTCGCCGCCTACGAACGGGAGCTCATTGGCCTCGTCCACGCCATCCGCCATTGGCGCCCGTACCTCTGGGGCCGCCGCTTCATGGTGCGGACCGATCATTCTGATCTGAAATATCTGTTGGACCGGTGACTTGCCCGATCCCGCGACATCACCGGGTCGGGGAAGCTCCTGGGGTTCGACTTCGCCGTGGAGTATAAGCCGGGCGCCCAGAACACGGTCGCCGATGCGCTGTCTCGCCGCGACACCGAGGACAGCACGGGGGCGGTCTTGGCGTTGTCTGCGCCACGTTTCGACTTCATCGACCGCCTTCGTCAAGCACAGGCTGTGGATCCGGCTCTCGTTGCCCTTCGGGACGAGATCGTCGCAGGCACCCGCAACAATACGGTTTGACAGCAAATACTTTCTTTAATAGATGCATCTTGTCTCCGTAAATCGCTGGACATACTAATAGATGCATCTTGTCTCCGACAATACGGTTTGACAGTAAATACTGTTTGTACAAAATAACTGCAGCTTTTCACAGAAAAACAACAGATGATCGTGCATTCAATGACACGTGGCATCTGAAATTTATGTGGAATACTGGATCATAGATTTCCAAGGAAACCAATAGATAAAGATACCCAGAGTATAAAGTTTTGTGTGTCACAAATGGATTTTTGGAGTGTAATCAATGACATATGTATCAGTTGTTCACCATTCATCAGGATTTAAGTTTTCTGTTACGGCCTCGGGATCTCAAGGCATAGGGGTGTGAGGAGGAAGGCTGAGGCTTGAGATCCCGACGGCGGATCGGTGGCGCCGTGCTCGGCGCCTGGATTGTCGGATCATGAACAGTAATCCGAACAGGACCGCGCCAGAGAGCGAGAGAGGTAATCTCGATCCTCTGGCTAAACTTTATTAAGCACACATGTTCAATACTTATACTCCAATCCTAACAACTTTCAGTTAATGCAAAGGGATAACAACTAACTGACTCATATCCTCTGAACTCTCTCCTAAACTCTAGGATCTAGCAATCGGCGCCCAATCGGCGCTCTAGGCGTCTTGAGTGGCGATGGTGACATGCCAGCAAGTGCTTGGCTCGGCGCCTTGGCCCGATCCACTTCTCGACCATGGCCGCTTCTTCCTTGTGTAGACGTTGCCCACCATAACATCTCCCCCCTCGGGAAGCAAATTTCGTCCTCGAGCCGGAAGGAGGTCTTGTGGCCTGAAGCGTCCACTTGGTTCCCAAGTAGCCCGGAGGCCGACATGTTCGCCCACTAGACGAGAATGTGCCAAGCTCATGCCGAGGGCTGGAGCGCAAAGACACGTTTTAGGTTGTTGCAAAAACGACCCATTGTTGAAGAGGTGGCGAGAGGTGGGGATCATGGACACGCGTGCACCCTCCGGCACTGGAGCCGATAGGCCACCGTGTCTTGATCGCGCTCCACCACTTGATAGGGCCCGACATACTTGGGTCCCGGCTTCTTCATGGCCGCCGAGAACAAGGGACTGGGTAGAGGCGTCACGATGGCCAAAGCCACACCCGATCACCCACGGAGAACTCCGGTGGCGATGATGGCGTCGTGGTGTCGACGGGCGTACTCCTGCGCTGGAGCAAGCGGCCGCGACCTCCTGAGAAACTTCGTCGCGGCCCGGGCGATAGAGGCGTCGGCGGTGTCCGTTCATGAGCCCGGCTCATAGGGCAGCAGCGCTGGTGGAGCCCCGCCATAAACCACCATGAACGGCGTTGTGCGGAGTGCCGAGTGGAATGCCGTGTTGTAACAGTACTCCGCCCACGGAAGCCAGTCGAGCCAGTCCCGAGGCTGGTCCCCGGTGATGCAGCGAAGGTACATGGCGATTGTTTTGTTCACGGCCTCGGACTGGCCGTCGGTCTGCGGGTGGAAGGCGGTGCTCATCCGCAACTAGACGCCGGCCCGTCGGAAGAGATCACGCCAGACGTGACCGGTGAACACCGGATCACGGTCACTGACAATGGACTCGGGGAAACCGTGCAGGCGCACAATGTCGTGGAAGAATGCGCGTGCGACCGACGAAGCCGTGTAGGGGTGGCCGAGCGGAATGAAATGGGCGTACTTCGAGAACCTGTCAACAACGGTGAGAATGACGCTCTTGCCATGTACCTTGGGCAGTGCTTCCACGAAGTCCATCGCAATGTTCGCCCAGACGCGGGACGGCACCGCAAACAAAGAAATTTGGAGAAGGCGGCGAAGTGCGGCCAGCCGACGTCTTGTTCGGCCGACAGTGGCACGAGGCGGACGAAATCACAGACGGGTCGGCGGTCGTGGTCAAAAGCGAAATCGGCGCGGAGACGTTGGAGCGTTTTGGGCGCCCTCGTGGCGGTACCGTGTGAAAGCGAGCTGCGGGGCGTCGGGGAGGACAGCAGCCGAGTCTTTGGGGACAAAGACACGGCCTTTGTGGATGATTTGCGAGGCCGTCGCGGACGCCTCCAGGTGTCACCGTGGTCACCGGAGTAACGGCGTCCGCGCCGGCGCCTTGCAACCGCGTCGTTCTTCAGTGAACTCTGGCGCGGCTTCGTTGTAGAGGTTGAATGCAGGTAACGAAATAGCCTCCAGGAGTGGCGCCAGGAGAGGCTCGTCGCCATCGTGGCGTGACAGAGCGTCTGCCACGGTGTTGAGCCGGCCTGGATGATATTCGACCCTGAAATCAAACCCAAAAAGCTTGCTGATCCACTGATGTTGTGGGATCGTCGACGGCGCCGATCCAAAGATGTATTTCAACAGCGTAGTGATCGGTCAAGCACTCGGCGCGCCTTACGATATGGACGCCAAGATGACGAAACGGCTTGCACGAGCCCGATGAAGCGGCGGCGGTGGAAGTGACAGGGGCCGAGGACGACATGGTCGCTGATACCAGGTTGTTACGGCCTCGGGATCTCAGGGCATAGGGGTGTGAGGAGGAAGGCCGAGGCTTGAGATCCCGGCGGCGAATCGGTGGCGCCGTGCTCGACGCCTGGATTGTCGGATCGTGAACAGTAACCCAAACAGGACCGCGCCAGAGAGCGAGAGAGGTAATCTCGATCCTCTGGCTAAACTTTATTAAGCACACATGTTCAATACTTATACTCCAATCCTAACAACTTTCAGCTAATGCAAAGGGATAACAACTAACTGACTCATATCCTCTGAACTCTCTCCTAAACTCTAGGATCTAGCAACTGACGCCCAACCGGCGCTCTAGGCGTGCCGTGGCGATGGTGACCACGCCTCGGCCCGGGCTCGGCGCCTTGGCCCAGATCCACTTCTCAGCCACTTGGCCTTCTTCTTCCTTGTGTAGACGTTGCCCACCATAACATTTTCTCACATGGTTGAGGGAATAATTATGTTCCAAATTTTCTTAGGTTTGTGTGTATGACATGGATTGGTCTCAACCAACAGCTATTGTTGTGGGCAATGAGCTTAGGTATGGGCTGTTCCTTGTATCTGGATATGTATCTTTTGTTGAACTTGCATTACACTCAATTACTAGGTTGTGCTTTCCGTTGTATTTTTCTACCCCTTTATTTTTCAAAGCACGTTTTTTTTATGAAAACATTTCTTAGATCTGCTTACTAGCTTTGCGATGCAATATTTGAGTCTCTACTAACATCACTTCCCATAGCTGAACATGTAAAAACAATTCAACATTTTTTTGTTTAAGCGATTGGAAACAACAATAAAAACATCAAATGATATGTCACTAACATGAATGACCATCTTAATAGAGGCCATAAGTGCTAAATATTTAAACAACAAAACCACTATCAAAGCTAAACAAACAATATTATATAACCAAACTCTTAAAAGACCCAATAAATAATTCTTTATTATACAAGACTAAAGTCATTTAAATAACTATATCAAGTGCATGCATAGGCATTTATTTTCCATCATGATAATGTAGAATAGCTGATACATTAATATTTCACGCTTTAATGAAAGTTGGGTATTAACTAATTCTTTTGTGGCAGGGGTATAAGTGATGATGCGCTAGAGCTATCAGATTTGCACTGTAGCGTTCCAATGAAAGGCATGGTGGATTCGTTTAATGTATCTGTTGCAGCTGGAATCCTCATGCACCATGCTGTTTGTGAGAGTTTCCGCCTGGTAAGTGCACTTTCTTCATTCCAGCTATCATCATACCTTATAGAAGACATCATAACCTCAATCCACTATTAGCAAAGTTCTATCTATCATCATATGGTACTGCTACCTTTGGCTTTCAGGTTTCAGCCAAGAAAAAAGAAAACTTTATCTTTGAACTTTACAATAATAGTGCTCATAGCGTCATACCTTTGTTACCAAAGGCCTGTTTATAGACCAAAGACCACTTGGTACTGCTTTTATTGAAAGCAACAGAAGTCACCTCCACCTCAACAGGCCTCTTTAGCTTTGCTTAAATTTATGCCAGTCACTTGTGCTGCTGAATCTATTCTATGTCTGATTAGGCTGTTTAAGATAAGTTGAATCTTGCAGAGAGCGACCTCTAAGATATTGTCAGAGCCATATATTGATTGTGGATCTTATCTCATAAACTATCTTATGCTTCTAGGTGTAAACTCAACCTGGCTCTTGAATTATTATACAAGAATCACTAACACAAACTAAAACTACCAAATTTGGCATATACGTGATGTTTGACCTGGACTGTAACAATTCATATAGAAAACACTGTGGAGCTTAATAGCTGATTTGCAAATCTGGTCTGTTTATTGGATTGTTTAAATTGTCACCTTTGGACTCACTGGATTTTGAAGTGATCTGAATGAACCTTTTTCCCCTCCAAAGTTGGAAAGTTTTATTTTATGTTCCAATCCATATATTTTGTACGCTAAATGCACCTCCAAATGAGACAATTGTGGATTAATATTTGCTGTAAGCTAGCCCCTAACTGTCAGCAATGTTTTCAAATCGTCTAGTTGTATGGTCCTGATCAGCCGATTAATCGTGTTTTTAGTCGTCAATCAGGTCCGATTGGTCAGTGACTAGTACGTTAGTCCAGCATAGTTGTCCTGCCTACTTGCCTTGCTACCAAGGATGTATACTAGTAAATAGAATGACTGTATAAGTATGAAGTAGTTAAGCAGTCAAGGGCCTGTTTAGCACAGCTCCTAGAAGTACTGCTGCTAGACTACAGCACCAGTGCGCAGCTGCATAGTGCACTTATCATGAATTTGTAAACATAGCAAGCATCTAGCATGGTCACTTATGGGCTAAAAACAGAAGGCCCAGTGCCCAAGTGCCCCCAGCCCATCTGGGTTGCTCACAATTTCTTTCTGTGGCTAGTAGTCCGTGAGCTAACTGGATGACTAATCGTGATTAGTCGGATGATCAGATTTAAGACGGCACTAGTTGCCTCAGAGTGATGACTTGATAATTCTGGCTGTCAGCATCTTATGTTTGGTGTTTTTTCAGGGCCATCACGGTGATCTCTCACCTGAAGAAAATAGAATATTGATTGCTGAGTTCTATCTGCGACATAGAGAAAGCACGGCTACTATAGTTCATGAATATGCCAAAAGGAAGGCAGAAAATTTTATGGCCAGACTTTGAGAACATCCTGATGCTTACTAACGCATAGTGTCGGCTAAGAAGCTGAGTGATGTGTTTGGCAATTAAGTGTTGGATTATCTAGTGCATTTTTCTAACAAAAAACGAGGTGATGAGTTTTTTTAACCATTCAGGGTAGCTTATTTTGTTTAATCAATTTTTATACTTTCAGTGTTCACCTTTTGTATACCACCTTATGTGGTCATCGTTGCAAATGTTTGCACACAGTAATCTGAAATTCTGAATTTGGTATGAAGGCTATCTTTCTGGAGAGTACTGTTGGGCTACTTGGGTCTTCAACCGATACGAGACAATCGCCCTATTTGCTTGGCTTATAAGATATATTTTTTCAACCAACGAACAGTATTTTTCTCTCAACAAATTAGCCAACAGTACTTTCAGCCATGGTTTATCAGCTAAGCAAACATGGCAAATGATTCCCACCAGATTGCTGGCAAGTGGCAAGACTGGACCCAAACCCAACAATCGAGCAGAGTTGTTAACAGTTACTCATACGGTTTTCAGTGACGTGACTTTTGCCCCAAATTAGGCGTTAACTATGTAGGTTTTTGTTGGGATTGAAAGCTTAATATGTTTCCACTTGTTTTTTCACAAATGTTGGCAATGCTCCATGTTCAACTGACGGTTAGGACCGAAATCTGGTATAACAGTATCATCAGCCTGTTCGTTTGGTCGTAAATGATCGTAAATTTTCAGCCAGAAACAGTGTTTTTCTCTCACACCAAACATGTCAGCAGTAAATAATCCACGATCCAATACGGTCCCCCGAACAGCCTCTTGTGTCGTTTGGAGGGCTGAGAACTTTGAGATGTTCTATGAAGCTGCCGTGTAAAAGAGCTCCACTTTGTCTACGCGAGGATGATGCGTTTGTAACGCAAAGCTGTGCAAGTGCAACAACTGGTTACGGTGGAATGCCGTCTTTAATCTCGCCACCAAACTCTGCTAGGGAAAGCTACGGACAAGGGCCCCTTGCTCCTTGGGTGTCGAGTGCAAATTGCCAAGCTGACGTCTCAAGTGGTCAAGTGGGCTGTACTCTATTTGTTTGCTTGCCTGACTGTTTGGCCGGGGTGATCGCAGCAGGATAGCAAGTTGCCCGTGGGCATGACAGGAAATTTGGTGCGGGTCGTACATAGTAATAGTAGCTGAAAAAGACACGTTCTGTGTAGTTTTATGCAAGCACTAAACGATGCTCGAACGACTTTAGATCAAAGCCGTGAAAGCTACTGTCGGTAAAAGAGAGCCTAAGAAAAAACTTGTGTCGGTAAAACTAGTCATTCATCCTCATTTTCATTTTCACCACACGTTCGGACGTTCCTCTCTCTTCAGCACAACTGAAAATATCCAAGGGATCCTGCGGTCCACGCTCACGCCGTACGATCCCACCGTCCACCCCATTAATCAAATAAAATCAACGGCTGATGTAACGCAGCGGAGAACATCGTGCGCCTCGTGCCGTCATGCAGCCTATTAGTTTCGGATGAAACGATAGTGGATTATTACTACGGGTTAGTTTGATGTGAGAGAAAAATATTATTCTAACTTATAATCCACAATCATTTACGATCAATCGAACATGCTGATGCTGTGCGGCTCCCTGTGTCCCGGCCCCTAGGCAGCTCCAACTGGAGCCCATTGCGGAACCTAAACTAAAATAAATCTCCAACGCAGTACCTATAGATTCCGTTCGTTTTGCTGAAAAACCTATGACTAAAAGTACTGTTCGCTGATTTGTTGTGAGAAAAAAATACTGTTTATTCGCTGAAATATTATGACTTATAAGACAAGCGAACATGGCCATAGCCTCCAACGAGTACCTATATGGAAGATCTATTTTAGGTGTCAGGAGAGACATAACCTAAATTTGAATATCCTCTCCTGAAGACCCATTTGTAGAAAGGGTTGTCTTTTAGGTCTTGTTGGTGCAGAAGACAAAAATAAGTATTGAACCATTTACCTATAGCACTAACTAAAGAACGAATAGATTTTGTATTTTGGATCGTAGTCGTTGAAGACAGTCCGAGGACCCTTGCTCACCGGAGCAGATTTCCTCCCTTCTCTTCCTGTCTGTCACTGACACACTAGGAGCTGCTGAAGCCAAAAAGCTCAGCTTGTCGTGTATCTGTGAGAGAAGAGGAGAGGAGAAACGAAATCCGCTCCTATGAACAGTATCTCCACAGTAAACAGCGTAGCAGGAGCCGGAACACCAGAATTTAAAGTTTACATTCGTTGTGGCCAGCTCGCGAGGCCAGCATGTCCACGTCGCTCCTAATTTTTCCGTCCGTCCGATCTTTGATTCTACGACCCGGATTGCATGGACCAGCTTTCGCCGATAGCGGCTTCTCCCGCTTCTCGTGCGCTTAACCAGCTTCTCCACGCCTCTCTCTTTCTGTCTCCTCCGCTTTTTGCTCCGAATCCAACAAGCGAATAATAGACCACGACTTACGCTCAAAAAAAAAAAGCACTCGCCATCCTCTCTCAATCTCTCCCGAACGGCGGCGGCGGCAGGCGTGGCGCCCAGGCGGCGAAGGACCTCCTTGTGGCCTTGCAGAGCGGGAACAAGACGCGCCTGCGCTGCACACCACCCGCCTCCTCCTCTCCCTCTTCCCATCGGTTTCTCCCTCTCCCTCTCCCTCTCCATCCCGACACGGATAGGCCAACGACGGCTGGCACAGGCGGGCGCGGCGGCTGCGGGCGCCCTCCTCCTCCTCCTTTCCCCCTCGCGACTGGGCCCCGGCGGTGTCCGCCGGCGTCGCTTGCCCCCGGCGTTGCCTCCTCCCTCTGCTCCGTGTGTGTTCATGTGTTGCAGGTGCTACAGGAAACCCTAGCAGCCTGTGCTAGCGGTCGCGGCGGCCCAGCTTCGTCCCAACCCCCGGTGGCGGTGCCCTTCTCCAGTGTGGACGCGCTCCCAGCGACAGCAGCGGTGAAAGCTCTAGTTTGGTTTTGGTTAATTGATGAAACCCTAAGTGCTAACCTAGTTTATCAAGATGTTTATGAGATAGGTAGCACTACTCCAAGTGATGAAGCAATGACGAAGATCATGACAATGGTGATAGCATGGTGATGATCAAATGCTTGAACTTGGAAAAGAAGAAAGAGAAAAACAAAAGGCTCAAGGCAAAGGTATAAAATATAGGAGCCATTTTGTTTTAGTGATCCGAACACTTAGTGAGTGTGATCACATTTAGGATAGATAACCGTACTATTAAGAGGAGTGTAACTTTCGTGTCGAAATGCGGTTATCAAAGTGCCACTAGATGCTCTAACTCATTGCATATGCATTTAGGATCTAGTGGAGTGCTAACACCCTTGAAAATATTTGTGAAAATATGCTAACACATGTGCACAAGGTGTTTGCGAGGTTGAGATGGGTTTGGGTCCCTCTCTCCCTCCCTAGAGCTTGTGAGGCGGGATTCAACGCTTTGGAAAAATGAAATGTCTATTTTCTATTGCGGGATGCAAAATTCTTAGTGGTTGGCACATTTGAGCAAGGGTGAAAAGTTAGAGTTGAAATGGAGTTGGTCGAAATGATCTTTGGCGTCGGTCCTGTGGCCGGACGGCTGAGTCACTCAATGACCGGACGACTGAAAAGGCTGCGTCCGGTCGAGTATCGAGCAACCTGATGGGAAGGTTGAGCACGGACGCCGGTCTGCGTCCGGTCAAGGTGGACCGGACGCGTCCGGTCAAGAAATCATACTCGGGAGCTTCTCGAAACGACCGGACGCCAGCTTCAAAACTGTCCCGGTCGATTTTTCGAGGCGTCCGGTCCACCTTCAGTAGCCGTTAATCGATGAACATCGTTTGAAGCCGGTGACGCGTGGCGTCCATCGGGCGACGGGACGACGAGAGACAGGCGTCCGGTCGGTATGACCGGAGCGTCCGGTCGGGCGTGTTTTGCCCAGTGAAGGGGTACAACGGCTCTATTTGATGGGGGCTCTATTTATAGCCCCATGGCCGGCTCAAGGAAACACTCTTGCACATTTTCATTGACATAGCAACCTTGTGAGCTTAGCCAAAGCCCTCCCACTCATCTCCATCATTGATCCATCATCATTGTGAGATTGGGAGAGAATCCAAGTGCATTGCTTGAGTGATTGCATCTAGTGGCACTTGGTATTCGTGTTCTTGTTTCATGATTTCGCTTGTTTCTCTTGGTGGTTGCCACCACCTGAGCCAGTTGGAGCAGCGGTGAAGGATCGGCACGAGTTGGTGATTGTTCGTGGCCGCCTTCGGTGATTGTGAGGGGAGTTGTACCTTCCCGTGGTCTGCCGAAAGGTAACTCTAGTAAATTGCTCGTGTCATTGAGTTACCTCACTTGTGGGTCGGTTCTTGCGGTGTCCTATCGTGTGGACGAGGTTTGTGAAACACCTCTTAGCCAGCCAAACCACCAAGTGTTGGTCGACACAACGGGACTAAGCGTGTTGGCAAGCACGTGAACCTCGGGAGAAAAATTGGTTGTCTCTTGTCATTTGCATTCTCCGGTGATTGGCTATATATTCATCGTGTAATTGGTTCACTCCACGACCCGGCGGTATAATCGTCTCACTTACTCATTTACATTTCCGCAAACTAGGTATAGCAAGCTCTTTAGTGTAATTAGAATTGAGAGCTTGCCTTGTGCTTTAAACATATCTAGTGGAGCTCTTTAGTGTAGCTTTTGTGAGAGCTCTTAGTGAGTAGTGGTCAAGTAGATTGTGTGCAAATAGATCATTGCAACTAGAATTGTTGGATAGGTGGCTTGCAACCCTTGTAGAGCTAGAGCAAGTTTGCATTTCGCTATTTGTCTTACTAATCAAATTGCTCTAGTTGATTTGTAGTTTTTAAATAGGCTATTCACCCCCCCTCTAGCCATATTAGGACCTTTCAAGCGGCGACTGGCAGGTTGTTGTCCCTCCGGCGACTGCGTGGGCGACGAGGTAACCTCCCATCTCCTCCATGTCTCTAGGCCTTCTTTTACTGAATGTTTGTGTGGCGGGAGCCCCAAATTCTTGGTGCAATTACCAATTTTTTGTGAGATTTTTCCTACACTCCTGGTACAAGTGATGCAAATCTGTTTCCAGAAGGCCACCTCCTTTCAATCATTCACAATGTTCCCCAAGTGCCGCATTGGTGAATACCCAGGCCTGTACAAACCATTTTAATTTATTCATGTATGTTCCTCAGTATTAGATTTTCACTTTTCAGACTAATGTATTAAATAAGTTAAGAAATATTGGATAGGTCAATGCTTACTACAGCAGATGACATGGCTTTCGTCCTTTCAAATTTGTGCCTGAATGTTCTCCTGTAGACACAGCCTCACATTTACCTTCGTCCCATATTGACCAGCATAGATGTTATACTTAAACATTTGCTACGGCAATACATGTTTTAGAATCATTTTATCTATTTGTTGGTGTTCATCGATCTTCTCCATTTGCTAGAGTGGCGGGAGTGGCAGTTCCTGAGCCCGACGGTGGAGCAGGCTGTGCGCCATGGTCTGCGTGACGCAAAGGACGATACACAATACAAATCTCTCTCAAATTGAATTTTATTCTTATGTAGTGATTTCGGTTCAACACAGGACTTCATTTCATAGGCTAATTTTGAGGACTATCATCAGGTGCGACAACATCAAGGTGTTTTTGTTCCCTTCTTTTTGTCATTCTTTTACCTGTTTGATAAAGTTTTAGTTCATAATTTATAGCATCCTCAACGGACTTGCTTCATTTTGTGAATTTGTATGATGCTGCTGGTTTTCTTAGATTATTTACTGAGTAGGAAGTATCCATCTAGACGAAGAAAAAAGTTCACTGGTCAACAGTACAGTTGATTCCATCAAGTTTTAGCTAAATTATTTTATTAATGCTTGCCTAGGTTTCTCAGAATGATTTTTATTCTTGTGCAAGAATTTTGTTTTGAGACAACTTCATTCCATGGGTGCATTTTGAGGGCTATCAGCAGGTGTAACTGCATCAAGGTGCTCCTAATCCATTGCTTTTATCATATTTCTTCTACCGTGTGCTAAAATTTTCATTCAGATTAAACCTTGAATTTTTAGTTTGATACAATTTATATGCACATTGTAAAATCTCAGAACAAGCCAACCACTTGGAAAAAAACATTATTCAAACATCATGACCCTACTCAGGTACTTAGTTGGGTTGCATACTATATGTTAGCTTACTAATCGCTGGTACATATTTAGCTACACTATTAGAAGTTTGAGATCACACAAGTACCAGTAGTGCCATCTGTTGTTCTTTTACTGTCCTGCAAGGTTGAAAGTGATGCTTTGGTCATTTCCTTTAGGTTTCATGTTCAGTAATGTGCATGGAAGTTCTTTTGCTATTCGCTCTTTTCATAAATTCACCTAGCGTTTTAGTACTGTCCCATGGATGTGCTTCGTAGATTGATTATAATGGGAAGTATATCAGCTCCTGCAACATTAACCCTGTTTGAATTGTGGCTAGCATCAGGGTGGATGATTAATTGAGAAATAGTGTTGGTAGGCTGCCACATCCAATTTTTGAGCTGAATCTTTATGCAGAGTGGTGCATAAAAATCCATTTGTAGCAATGCTTCTGTGCAGGACAATAGTTACCTGGCATGTGTGAGTTTTTTGGTGCGAACCTGATGCTTCTGTGACCTGTAAGTACATTTGTGCAAGAGAATAGTTGGTCATGAGTCATCTTTAGTTAATCTCAGTTCTATTTAGTTAATTTCAGTTCTGGACCTGGGACTACTGTATCTGAACCTAAGACTGCATTTGTTCTGATATAATTTAGTTCAAATATAATTTTACTCAGCCACATAGTTTACATGACATATTGGATCACAACATCTTGCATACATTAACCGCTCTAGCTTGTCTTTGGAAAGAATGAAATAAAATTCCCCACTGAGAGTCAGTTTCATTAAATTAAAATGTTATCACATGCAGCTAAATAGTTCTTAAACCATGCTTGCAATGACATAACAGGCATTGACCTTTATTTTGATGATTTAAATGGATTGTTCTCCAGCCCACAACTTTGAGTCGGATCAAAGCTGGAAACTTCATTAGCAGCGCTAAACATCAGAGCAACCTCAGAAGCTGACGCCACTTTCCTTAAGAGCAATGTCTGATCATCTGCTACTTTGACTTTTGCTATATGCGCTATGCTGTGTTATGCCATCTCAGAGACTATACCTCCTTGGTGTTCTATCCTATGACTGTAAAATTATGTACTATTTGGACATCTAGGGTCCTGGTGTAGGACTGTCTCGTGTAAAATATATATAAGTACTATTTGGACATCCTCTGTATCATGTAATCTATATATAGTGTTTGAACATGTCGCAACTGTTTTAGAAGTTAAGCCTTCTATTCAGTGCGTGTTACCATGTTGTTGGGCTAACTATGGACCGAGTAATGGGAACAAATGCCTCTGTTCCATTAACTAAGTAGAACTTATTATATTTATTCTTTGTCGACATTATTTCATTTCTCGGAACTGCGGCCATCACTCGCGCGCATGGGCGCGCTCCAATCACTAGTCTATACAAAGAGGCCCTTGTTCCCGGCCACGCGCGGCCACCACCTTTTCTTCTTTTTTTTGACGCCTCAGTTCAACTCGAACTTCCCCGAAATGCCCCTGCCGGCCGAGCCCCGCCGGTGTCGGCCTCACCGCACCAAGCCACCAAGTCGGACGCCGACTGGCGCAGGGGCGTTTCCGTAACCCCGAGCCCCGCCCGGTCGCTTCTGCGGTTCCGCCGTCCCGTCCCCGCACCGCGCCTCGGACAGCTGGACCTGCCCCGTCACGGCCCCGCGTGGATGGTCGGTTCTGCCCCTGGCCCCTTCGCGGGCGCGTCGCACGCATCCGTCTGGTGCCTATCTGGTGCGGCTCGATTCGGCCCGACGATTCCGATCCCCTCCCGTCCACCACCCCGTCTCCGTCTCTCGCCCTCCACGCCAGTTACCGGAGAAGGGGCCGCGCGCAGGCGACGCCCACGGCGACAGAGACGGCGAATCTTCCCCCGCTCCGGCCGCGGCCAGCCTCGCAGCGACGCGCCAGGTAAGCCTCGGTTCGCCGTCACTCTGTATGTCCCGCGGGAATGGATGCGCAACGCGTGTTCAACGGCGTCACCGTCGCCGTGTGCTCGCTTGGCCGCGAGCCCCGTCTCCTCCTCTCTTCGAGTGGAGAATGCCGAGATGACAGGTGCTAGCGCTCGGGTAGCGCTTACACCGTGCCGCTCGCGAAGAATCGCACCTGGGTATAACTTGTCGAGGAGCTCCCGATCCACGCTGGCCGGGAGAACCCCGCACGCTGAGCAAGCGAGCGCCTGCACTGCCTGCTCTGTCTGATTGACCGTAGTTGCTTGCTGCACGCAGCTAGTACATACAGTCTGCCCCTCTAGGTTTCCTAGGCGACATTGGGGGTTCGCCTAAGAAGCATTTCGTGCTGTTAGTTCGAGCTTTACAAGTGATAGTGAAATGTTGTTTTTTCAGATTTATGAATGACAAAGGAAGAATTTTTCCTGCGCTTATGCCATTCCTATGAATTTTCTTTGATTGCCAGCACTGGTAATCATTCAATGATGACTGTCCAATAATTTAACTTTACCACTTTTTTTAAAACAGGATTGAAGGGGGCATGAGAAGGTGGACATCGTTGCTCTAGTGATTTGATTACCGGAGATGGTGTTGGTGTTTAAGCAGCACCGCTGCACACACTCTGCGAGCTGCGTTTGCATCAAGGGCCACCTCAGTGAGGATGCTCTGTACCTCGTCTTCCGCCACATGAACTGGAACCCGAGGCTGATTGCTATATTGTCATGTGTGTGCAAGTGGTTTGACGAGGTTGCCAAGCAGGTGCTGTGGAAGGAGTTCTGTAATGCAAGGGCTCCAAAGATGATGCTGGATTTGCATTCAGGTGGCAGCCACATTGTTGATGGGAACTGGAAAGCGCTGGGGAAGCTGCTCATCTATTGCAACGGCTGCCCAAAGGGGGGACTGTTTAATAACATCCATGTTCCAGGCCATTTTGTGTTCAGGACACGCTTTTCTAGGACTGCGGGCAGGAGTTTCCTGCCTCTGCCATGCAAGTCGGACGTCCTGTATGTGTCAGATCCATGCGAGCATCTTGATCAGGGGGATGAAGGCGACTTGGGTTTCTTCCGAGGCATCTTTAAGTCATTCGCCACTTCAAGGGTAAAGAAGATGTTGATTGAGAAGCAGGCTAAGTTTCATCCAACGGAGTCGTGCCCTTATTGTAAGGCCAAGCTATGGAACATGTTCCAGGAAAATATGATTCAAGGGAGTGCTTCCGCTAGGCTGGGTGCCTATGATGATTCTGTCGAGTATTTTGTATGCCTGAATGGACATGTTATTGGACTTGGTACCCTGCTACCACTCTCGGATTCGGAGGAGGCAGCAGATGAGTAATCATCAAGAACATGAATCAGGTATCATATATTTTCTGTTGAATTATTTGTGAAGAATAGATAGAATTCTTTATATGATGCATTAAAATATATACACTGAAGCACAGGTACGCCTTTTCCATGGCAGATTTCTTCTTGAATCTTTTCTGTAAACATCAAGTTTCATGTGCAGACATGTCTGGATGTACATAGACTGATTACCGTTCAATATTAGTTTGTGTTTGCATACACTCAATGCTTAATCCTATTTATTTAATGCATAACTTGCTCAATATTTCACATCATATACCAACATTTTCTCCCTGTAAGACTCCCAAGGAACTTAGCATAAGCTTGTTGGGATATCATATCACATAATGCTTATTTTAGATTTTATTTTAGGAATTTTTTACATTTAAAAAGGAAACATTACTAGCAAAACTATTCTCAAGGGTTTCTATGCTTATTTCGTAATGGCATCAGAATTATTGAATCGATTCTTATGAATCCCATATTTTTAACGCAGTCCCTGTCTGTTTCTGGCACCCTTCTGTTTGGCCCTACTTTAAAGTTTATATATACTACTTGATATTTGTATGGTACATCAAGTCATAACTGGTGCTAACTATCTTAATGTTAGAAGTGGCAGCACACAAGTTTTGGGAGGCAGTTAGAGTGCTTATGAACACCCAAAAAAATTTCACCATTCCAATTCTCACTTCTGGTACTTGAAAATTCAAAATTATGAGAGCAGTCAATCTATATTGATGATATAATGCATCTTTTTAGTTCTCTTTAATCAAATATCCACATGACAAGCATTCCTTAATTTAAATCTAGATTTACTGGTTTATTTTCAGAAGAGCCATATTGTCTGGCCAGTTTGTTCTCTTATTTTATTTGTGAAAAAATTATGAGGAAAATGTGCAATTGCTGATATCCTGTTTTATTTGTGATTTGCTAGTTTCGTTGCTTTTATCTACTTAGACCATAACAAATTAACAGCATTTGGCGACAAGTACACCAGTTTAAGTAAGGTAGCAGACTCTCTCTCAAATAAAAGGGTGTCAGAGCTGTGATATAGTATTTACTAATAATAGATAAAAACTGCAATGTAGTGACAGAACATCTATGTAGGGTAAAAGGCAGTCCAAACAGAAATTCTTGTTCTGCTAAAGTGAAACAAACATGTGTTCTGAATTGACTCCCCATTTGTTGACAGGTTTGCAAGATTGAAGCCCAGGGCTTGTGAAATGGTACTGAATCTTGGTTCAGCCAACTGTTGCACGACAAGAATCTGTGATGGGCTCTGCATCGGACTTGCAGCTGTGGGTGTCTTGCATCAGATTGGAAAAAAGAAGAGCTATTTTATAGTGTCTCTCCTTTATTTATTGATATATGTCATTACTTGTTTTTGTAATGGAATCAAGACACTGGACGCTACCCGCTTGCCTGTTTAGACATGTTCACATAATCACATCATGTGTTGTGACGTGTTTTATTTAGCTAGACTTGTGATGTTAAATTTGTGCTCGTGATATTCATGTGCTGTTGTCCTCACTGTGCCGTTTCTGTTGCTGACTACTGATTCTGGTGTGCGTGATCCGATTCTGCTCATATGCTTGTGTTTGTCACCGTATGTTATGCTGTCGGATTAATGTCGCCATGACATCATTTCACCTGCTTCAGAAATGAAGAATGAAATAATAGTTGAAATAGCCCAGCTCAAAACATATCCACAAAATGGGCCTGACCCAACATACGTACAAAATGGGTCGAGACGAACATAGTCTGCTAAATGGGCTCAGCCGCCTCTTCTTTTCTCCGCTCCCTTCCCCACGTCGTCCCAACCGCGCCCGCTCCTCATTTCCTTCCTTCCCCAAACCGCCTGGCAGTCGCCACGAGCCCACGACCGTAACCCATGGAGATTACGGAGGAGCAGCGGCGTCGCTCCGAGGCCAACCGCCTCGCCGCCCTCGAGAAGCGCAAGCGCCTCGCAGAGGCCGCAGCCGCGGCCGCGCCTTCCACCGCCTTTCCCGCCTCTGGCGCCCCCACATTCCCTGCCTACGACACTGCCGCCGCCGCCGCCGCCGCCGCCGCCGCCGAGTGGAGGCTCGCCAAACGCCCAAGAATCGCCCCGCCCGCGCCCCAGCCTCCGTTTGCGCCGCTGCCCCCGCGTCCTTCCCCACCGCCGCCGCCGCCGCCGACTCCGCCTCAGCCGCCGGTGGGGTTCCAGGTTGTGCTGGAGGTATGCAGCCCCGACGAGTTCTTGGTGGCGGTGGGGCCGGTGGAAGGCAGGGCCTACCCCGGGGAGGCCGAGTGCCTCGGCGCCGTCCAGGACTGTCTCGCTGCGGCTTCGGTACGGTTTGCATCGGTTCTTGCCTTTGAGGAATAGACGTTATTCCAGTTTCTGCTTTGATCGGAATGTACAATTCATGAGCTACTCCCGAAATTCGGTGTTTTCTTGGATACCATTATGCTTTTGTTTGCGAGATTTTGGTGATTTTCGTGTTTCTTGACACCAGTCTGTCAAATTCGTGGACATCGGCGAGCTTTTCTTGATAAATAGTTTTTTTGAAGGATTGATAAATAGTTTTTCTTTGGATCCTTCTTTTTTTTCCATCTGTTTGGATGTTCTTGATAAGGATTTTGGTATGCAGCTGGAACTCATTTTTCCTTCAATGTTTGCACTGTTAGGTTGTACAATACTCTACTCTGCAACGCAGTCGCTAAATCAAAGCGCACATCTTCGTCCTGTATTTAAGTTTGTGGACTATGATGTGGTGTTGAAATGCCTTAAGAAATTACCTGGAGCTTCTGTGCAAGAAATACCTTCTAGCACAAAGAGAATTATTCAGGATATACCTAGGTATCCTGGCCAAAAGTGGGCTTCTGATGAAGAAGTAGATGAGCTTCTCAAGAAGCTGCCACAGCAAATAAAAGATGCTCTTTACCCTTCCAACTTGAAGGGGTGATGTTTGGGCTTCAAGGCGTGGATGCTGCCTAATTGCAGATGAGATGGGGCTTGGCAAGACTCTCCAGGTGGGCATATAGCATGAATTCTTGCATAGTGCAATCCTTGCTGTTTTGTATATGAGTGCTTTGGGATATTCTTGTGGTGTACATCAATATGAATAGGCTTACCAATTTGCCTATATTAAGGGAGTGAGTGAGCATATTCTCATGCACTTTAATGCAGGCGATTGCAATAGCATGCTGCTTCAAGGATGAGGGCTCTATATTAATAGTATGTCCAGCCGTATTGCGTTATTCTTGGGCAGAGGAATTGGAACGCTGGGATCCTTCATTTATGCCAAAAGATATTCATATTGGTATGAGACATCTTTCTTTTTGTCGATGTGAAAGCTGGTTTTTATCGCACTTATGTTATATTGTTTGATCACACATTATGTATCGTAACCCTCTAAGTTCTTTGCTTGCTCTTGATTCAGGCTGAACTCTAAGGACTACTCCATCCGTTCCAAATTATAAGCCGCTTTGACTTTTTTGGTACATCCATTTTGCTATGCATCTAGATATAATAATATGTCTAGATACATATCAAAATGGATGAACCAAAAAAGTCAAAGCGACTTATAATTTGGAATGGAGGGAGTATATGCTTTTCAGTTATAATATACCGTTAGCAACGTGGTCATCTAGTGAACCATGTAACCTTTAACTTTTATTATTTCAATTCAATCTCACCTTATGTGTGCATAATGTGAAAAATAATGAAATTTTGCTTTCATAAGTTGATTGAAATGCTATAGCCCACATAACATCCCCTGTGAACTATCAAAGACAAGATCATTCAGATGTCTGATACCTAGTGTCTGCTTGGTCTATCTAGGTTGATTTTTTTCTTCAGTTTGACTTACTGACTTGTCTTTGGGATTTTCAGGAACTTTTGGATAAGCTAGCATTTGAACATATTTTAATGAGTTATGTATGTTTTACCTTTTCAGATCAAAAGATGTGATATTCAATCCGAAGCTAAGCTAGCTGCTAAGTGCTAACATAAGTTCAAATCTAGAATGCTTTTGGTTCTTTAAGTGTAAATTAAATGGGTTTATTATCGAGAAAATAACTTTCAAATCATAGTTTTGTGCTTTGGTTGTAAACTGCACTAGTATTAATGAAAGACCACTGTTTTACAAAATATGGCTAATGTCTTATCACTTCTCCTTGTGTTCTTTCCTATATAGCTTCCCTATATTAGCTCTTTAACCCACCTCAGGCTTCCTTCTTTGTGCAACTACTTTTGTACAGTGTTGTCCTTTTATTTTTTTAATTAATAAAGCAAACAGTGGGGCCTCCCTGCTGTATTTTCTCTAAAAACTTCTCCCTTGTGTGATTGACTTTCTAGTTCTGAATATATTCTTTTGATCTTTGTTTCCGGTTCATATAGAGGAAGTATCAAGTGCACAATAGTATATTGGTGCACATATGCGCCAACTCAATCTCACCCACGGGTCCAATATGAAGGGCTGAAGTGAGGTGGACCTAAGTCAGCCCAAAAGGGATGAGAGAACTCCCACCTCGAACTTGAACCTTTAAGACTGAATATTTGGATCCGAAGGATGGGATTGAGTTTTTGCATATGTTTCACCAGTATGCTCTTGTGCACCTGATATTTCCTATTTTGTATAAGGACCATATGTTTAAATTATATCTATTATTTTCTCATTTTCAGTATTTGGTCATCAAGACAGTCTTGAACATCTAAATGCTACTCCAAGGGCAGTGATTACTTCTTACCAGATGCTAAGTCGCCTTAGGGAAAGTATGGTGAATAGAACATGGGCACTGATGATTGTTGATGAATCGCACAACATACGCTGCACGACGAAACGAGAAGAAAAATATGAGGTATTGATGTTATCATGAAAAAAAATAAACGATCTCATGTTTCAGTACAAGCATACAGCTCTCGAATGCCCCAATCTATGAAGGAGATTCTGTTCCTTGTTATTTGACCCATCCTATCATTATTTTTAAGATCATGACTTTGTTAGGCTTACTTTCCTATATTACAAAAAATTGACTTCGAGATGATTTAGTGAACTTCCACATTTCTTCATCATTCAGCTTGATTCTCCACATGCCTATGCGCTTGTATAAAAAAAGGGGAACTAGTTACCACATATGATTCATTTAGTTTTCTATTACTAGTCTGAAATATCAACATTCCACTTGCTTCTTGTATTGACTTGCTTGCCTTGTGATAGACAAAAGCTGTGCTGCATCTAGCTTCAAAAACTGATCGCATCATATTGCTCTCGGGGACACCCTCTCTCTCAAGGTTATAAAGATATCCATCATACTCTTTGAGTTCCTTGCGCTATTGAAATTGTACTCTTTATATTTCATCCGTGATGCATGAAAATAGTTCTCTTACTATTTATTTTCTCCTAGGTGATGATAGACCTTTTGATATCTACCACCAGATAAATATGCTATGGTAAGTAAAAGAAAATGGCATCTTATTGTCTTGGTCTTATGAAGCTCTTTAAATTGTTCTGTTGCAATATTGTTGTTAATCACCCTACCCCCACTGCTTTCAGGCCCCACATGCTTGGTAGAGATAAATTTGATTATGCGAAAAAATATTGCTTGCTGCATGCTGCACGAAGTTATCAGGGGAAAATATCTAAGGTATGTGATTCCTTGGTTTGTAAAGGTATATCACTGTTACTAGTTCTATTCCCTAAGCTATGGCTCCTATGGGCTGTCTGCAGAGCTGTTGTTCGCTAAGTGGGGTAAAATCTATGCTGTACATGTAGAAACTAAATATAGCAAACCATGAAATAATGCATGAAAAACTTTTTAACTAGTTTCCCCCCTTTAAAGAAACAGGAGTTCTGCAAACCAGTTAATAATTGTAGTGGTTTATAACAGAAAAACCCTATAGAGCAGGTATTATAGATTAAATGCTACGAAAGAGTGGTTGGATAGATGGTTGCAAGGCAGGACAATCTCTGAACTCGCACCCAATCTATTCAAATTGATCTCCAAAAGAGTGGTAAAGCAACGCACGGTAGCCCAGGCGCCCTGGACAGTCGGCGCTGGGTTGCAAATATTAGAGGGGCTTTGACTATAGAAGTGCTAAGAGAGTATCTGTTATTTGGGGGCTGGTTGATGACCTGGTTTTACAGCCAACAGTTCCTGATCAGCATAAATGGAAGCTATGTATTACTGGAACATACAGCAGCAGGTCTGCATACAATGCCTTTTTCCTTGGAAGCATCAGGTTCGCGCCTTGGAAGCATATTTGGAGAAGCTGGGCACCCTTGTGGTGTAAATTTTTTGTTTGGTTGTCCATTAACAACTGGTGTTGGACAGCTGATCGCCTAATAACGTGGGGCTTCCTCACCCACCAGCATGCCCGCTTTGTGATCAGGCTGAGGAAAATATTCAACGCATCCTCATCTCATGTGTGTTCGCCCGACAGATTTGAACCCTGATTTTACAAAAGCTGGACCTGCTGTCTTTTCCCCCTCAATGATCTAATATTCGCTTCTCTAGTTGGTGGTGTGGCATCATCAAAGGCGTTCCAAGGGGTTCGCGCAGAGGCCTCAGTAGTCTGATCATCTTAGTTGCTTGGGAATTAATAGCACTGAAATGCTTGTGTTTTTGAAGGTGCTAGGCCTAGCATAAAGGTGCTGTTTCAATCTGTGGCCAATGAGAGTAATCTTTAGTGTATGGCGGGAGCTTCGGCCTTACATGAGTTCCTTGCTAGGTCGTTGGTCTTGGATTCCTAGGTCCTTGGTCATTTGAGGCAGCTGGTCGTGTTTCCCTAGTTTCTTTTCTAGTATGCTGTATTCACTAAACCCCATGGGGGGTGCCTGGGAGGGGGGGTTTCTTACTTCCCTCCCTTTTGTATCTTTTTATTCTTCTTCTTAATGAAATGACACGCAGTTCTCCTGCGTAGTTCAAGAAAAAAATGCTACGAAAGAGAAATGAATTTTGCCACTAGTATTTTGTGGAAACATTTTCTTAGGTCATTAAGGCTGTAATTTGTTTTATATGCAGGACTTCTCTAAGGGTACGCGGTTGACAGAGTTAAATGTTTTGCTCAGTCAAACTGTCATGGTTTGTTCTTCTTTCAGCCACTTAAGCTTCATTTCATAGCTTACTATGATCTATTACCTCTGCTCCATTGTGGTAGTTCAATCTATACTGTTTGTTGGTCTGTTATGCTAACTCATGTATCTACACAATTAACTATTTAACGATACTAGCCCTTGGGTTTCTTTTAGCCACCAATTGCACAGTACTTTTTTTTGTTGCTGATGCAATTCTTTAGCCCTCTTAATTGAAATTTTTAATGGTTCAAAGGCATTTGGCAGAGAAGTGCTACTGTTGGCAAATATTCTAGCAAAAAAAGGTTTACTGTTCTATAACCTGATTTATAAAGAAATGAAGTGCTCGTTTCCTAATAATATGCTTGCCATTATTAAAGACTGTTGCATTGTTTGTCACAAGCCATGCAATCACATGATATATTATGTTGAGATTTGATTGCTTATTAACGTCTGCTCCGTCACAGCTAAAGTTAGCTGCTTCATCTGCTTGCTTCTGTGTTATAGATTAGGCGGCTGAAGGAGCATTTGTTGAATGAACTGCCCCCCAAGCGGCGACAGATTATTTGGTTGAAGCTAAAGGCACCAGATATCAGGGCAGCCACATCTTCATGCGTCAAAAGGGTGAACTCTAGCAGTTGTAATGGAACTCTTACAGTTGAATTGCCCAGCAAAAGCAATGATGATGAAAATACAAAAGAGGAAGAAGGTATATCCATCGTGCTAACTGCAAACATGACTTTTCAGTTACATATATTAATGAGTTTTAATATCAACCTGTGATTTTTCTCTCTTCTTCGTCCACGACTAGTATGATGGTTCTGGTAGTTCTGCATAAATTTGGTTATCTTTATTTTTTATCCAGATGATGATTGCAAGAAATCTCCGAGGAATCTCACTCCACAAGAGATTGGTATCGCAAAATTATCTGGGTTTAGTGAATGGTTCTCAAATCATTTCATCATGGATGGATTTGGTGCTAACCATAACCTGGATCCCCAGTCTAGCTGTCAGAAAACAATAATATTTGCACATCACTTAAAGGTTCTAGATGGAATACAGGTAAGCTGTTTCATGTTTCTCATATAGGCCTTATCTGTCATCATGCTATTAGGTGGTTTGTCCTCACTTAAGGATGTATTTTGATTGTCAATATATTAGTGCTATTCGATCCCATTCACATATTAGACAATAGCATCATGAACTATGGACAAGGGTTCCAATCAAAATTATGATGGTTATCTACTTCCGTAGTTTGAAATGTATAAGCCTCAGTACTTCTCAAGAACAATTGAGATTTATTGCGATCATGCTTAAGTATTATTCAAAAAAAAAATTATTGAGTTTGTTGACCACCGGAATCCAGGATGAGACAATTTTATACGTTCGACTGTTTTCACATAGGTGTTTATCTCTGAGAATGGGATCAAATTTGTTCGCATTGATGGAAGCACACTTCAAAGGGAAAGGAAAGAAGCTGTTGATTCTTTCCGTTTGGATCCAGAGGTGCTGCCTCCAGCCCCACCCACCCACCCACCCACCCACCCACCCACCCTTTTGTTGTATTTTCCCCACTTTTCCTATTCCATATGTCCTCCCAAATTTGGTTTAATGTTTATCCATTTTATACTTTTTATTTTCAAAAAGGTGAAGGTTGCAATAATTGGAATTACTGCTGGAGGTGTTGGTTTAGACTTCTCGTCTGCTCAGAATGTTATTTTTGTGGAGCTCCCAAAATCAGCTTCAGAATTGCTTCAGGTCCGTAGCCTTTTTTTTTCTCTCTGTTTGCTGTTGCAAATTTTTTTTCAACCATTACAGAATGCAGCTTAAGTGGTGGAACATATTTGGTTACTTTCATAGTTATTCTGGTAGAATTAGAATTGAAATGCCAATGTGTTATTCTGGTAGAATTAGAATTGAAATGCCAATGTGATCCTGAATTCCTGATTGTTAATTTGTGCACACATTAGTATTCCCTCCGTTCCAAATTAGAAATCTGTTTTGGTTTTCTCCTAAGTCAAACTTATCTAATTTTGACCAGGTCTATACAAAAATGTAACAACATTTTTAACGCCAAATTAGTTTCATTGAATCCACCATGCAATATATCTTGAGAGTGCACTTATTTGGTATTGTAGATGTCAATATATATTTCTATAAACTTCGTCAAACTGTCAGAGTTAGAAAAGTTTGACTTAGGACAAAGCCAAAGTGACTTTTAAAATTTTGGAATGGAGGGAGTAATTAAGAGGTTGCTGAGAATATCTTTCACTGTGTTGCTATTAGGCTGAGGATAGAGCTCATAGACGTGGCCAAACAAATGCGGTCAACATATATATATTCTGTGGAAAGGTCAGTTCGTTTGTTTTCCTTTGCAATTTGTTCTGTAACTTGTCATTGTAATAGCAAACATAATAATGTTGGTCTTGCAGAACACATCGGATGAATCACACTGGCTCCAGTTAAACCAGAGTCTGTTCCGTGTCTCGTCTTTGATGAATGGAAAAAAAGATGCTGTAAGGGAGATTGAGGTAGGTCACACATTAAGACCCTGTTTTTTTTTTCACAAAGTTCAGAATATTTGTCGTTTGTAAATTGCCATGTTATACTATCGTTTGACAGATTGGAAGGGCTGTTGTGAGATCTAAGCTTGTAGTGTGTAGCCACTAGCCAGTGTCAGTTAACCTGGGATATGTACCAGCCTAACAGGCAACATTCAGTGCCTTAATAAATCTGATAGAGTACACTAATTGGAATATTAGCCCCTTAAAAAATCTGCTGAAGACAGGGTGTCTGAATAGTTTGTATGATAAGGATCATTCCTCTTTTATCTATTCTTCGTTCTTTCTTTGTAAGGTTGATCAAGTGTGCCAACTTGAGGAAATCAAGACCACCGAGGAGGAAACACAATGCAAACTTCATCCTTCGGAGAATCATAATGCAGGTAAAACTAATGCTGATTGCTGAACCCATGTCGATAACTATCTGATTTTACTAAAACAAATGCTGAGTTGTTTGAGGTTCATGCAGATTTGACCCATGGACCAAAATACCTTTTGGAAAGTGATGATTTGTCCATCAATGGTTTTCTTGGCATCGAAGATTTGGAACTTGACTCGGATTTCACCATTAGGACAATTCCTCTTGAATTTGAGGTAAAAGGAGATGCTCCATTTAATATTTGTCAATTGCTTCATACTTGCCATTTGTTATTTCTTACTTATTGATTATTGATTGACAAATGATTCTTCATGTGCTTATTTCCTATATTAGGATGAAAGACCTGGCACATCCTTGAAAAATAATCCAACTCAACAGTACTTGAAGACAGATCTTGTATTGATGTTTCTCTTTCGCCAGCTGCAGCCTTTTGCTCTGTGATTTCTAGTTGTAAATCAGTAAAGGTGATAAACTTTCTTTGCTTTCTTTAATCATATGACGTTTATACATAACAATCTAATTGCTGAAAAATGTTAGGCTCAAGAGAGGCTTTCTGGAAATTCTGGGTCCTTAAGTCAAGCTGCACCTGTTCCAGATTTTCCAATTCAAGTGGAATCTCTGCGTTTTGAGGTTAAAGCACTTTTTTACCTACTTGTTTGTTCTATCTTTTGTCTGTTATTGTGACTGTGCTCTTTCTATTTTTCGAGGTTAAAGCACTCTGAGACCTAGGAATATTAGTTTTTTCTTTGATGTTATTATGCTGTGGGGAGAGGAGGGGATAACTACTGCAATGTCAGCCCTTTCATAATCTGCACTCGTTTTGGGAGATGGCAGATGCGTTTCGTGTTCTCTTAGGTGAAAAGAATATGATTGCATGTGCTATGCATGCATTATCGTTAATGGGACTAAAAGGCTTTTTTGTTCTTGTATTTGATAAAAATATGACAGTAGTTAGGAAGCTAGTCGATTTATTTTTCTGTAGGATATTGACATGGCTAGCTTAGAGAGGAGAATGGGAATGGGGGGAAAAGAATAGTGGAGATAGAGACTGTTGAAGGCGTGGGGCTTGTGAACTATCCTGTTGCTGACTCAACTATGCATGTGCGCTGGATGGCCATGTCAGTGAAGCTTGAACATGTAGCTGTCCCGTGAGCTAAAATCACAGTGATTTAGGTCGAGAAAGTTGGATTTTATCTTTTCTTGATAGCAAGAGTGTAAAGCATGCTGTTTCATAGTTAAAGATGAGATTTTCTTCACTAAATTCGTCTGAAGTATCATCATCTTTTGCAGGTTAGTCGGCACACAGGCCGAATCCACTTGTACAGTTGTGTTCCTGGACATGATTCAAGACCCAAACCACTTTGTGAAAATTTTCTGCCAGAAGAATTGAATTCACCTTTATGTTCTCCCAGTGACGTTAAAACAAGAACTCTGCTCTTGAAAAAGATTCCTGCATTTTGCAATGTGTTCAAGGCATTCATCAAAGAGTGGTTGGCACTAAGACCAATTGATCAGAATAAATTGCTTGGAAAGCCATTACAACTTCCCTTGAGCCTTGAGTTGTGTTTTCTGAAAGATAGCATCAACCATAGCACAGAAGTATGGACCTGTTGACTTCATTTGATTCTTCTCTTTACACACGCAATCCGGCTTTGCTTATGAACATTGCACGCCATGTTCAATAACAGTTCTGTTCATTTTTCTTTTCCAAAGAAATTCTACATATCTAAATGATACACGTCTTTGTTCAATGATACAACATGCAATTATGCAGAATTTGCTCAAGGATGTCAAAATATTCTGAAATCCATCTTCATATTAACACCACCAAAAATCCCCTTCTGGCAACCCAAATTATATATTTTGGATATGGTAACTACTACCATATTGTACTTTAGGTAGGAATGCTGGAACTGGTACATGCTATTTTAAGTTTTTGACTATATGTATTCTGTATCATGGCACATTTTGGTATAGAATCATAATTGTTTATAGCCCACTTATGTCACCTGACGCTGTTATTATAGATCAAGCTACTTAATTCAATTAAGGGTTCAAATAGTGTTCAGTGTAAAACAAGATTCATATGGGTATAACTTTGTTAGCCTATTACAGTTGCTCAGGCCTTAGTTAGCATTCAGTGCTGTTTTTTCACATTCGGCTATTGTAATGTTTTTACCTCTTGAAATGTTATTAGTTTTGCTACACACTGAAAGCTCATTATGTCCAAAGCAAGAGCACACAAAATCATCATGCTAAAACAGTATCTGTACATATACGAGAAGCAGCACTCCATGCATGTCACCTTTTGCCAGCTGTACTAATCAGTAGCAGAGCCAGAAGCTTTTAGGAGCCCAGGCGATCCTTATTATGCAAAAATAGTTTGCTAGCAAATTACAGTGGTCTTCTTTGATGTATAGATATAGATAATTTTCTTTTGAACTCTTTGCGCTCTTATGTCTCCTGACACGCCGGGGTCGCCGGGCGGTGGCTCTGCCACTGGTACAAATAGTGTTTACCTATTTTTAAAGCTTTGCATGAAATGCACAAGTGTTTATTTTGGTGTTCCTCAACTTGATGAATATCTCTGTCACTTTTTCCTTGTTCTGGTCTGCTTTCATTTTAGGGGATACTTAAAGGGGGGAAGTAAGAGGCGTGCCGCACCATTGAATGGTGTCAGTAATCCTTTGCCAGAAAATGCTGAATGGAGACAGGTGGTGTTGCGTAATGGCACCTGTAAAGAGAGACAGTACACTCAGGGATGGACCATTGATGATGAACCTCTCTGCAAACTTTGTCAAGGACTTTGCAAATGCGACTCCTTGTGTTTAGAAGTAAATCCTGTTTTGTTATTATAAACAAATAATATTTGCTCACAATAATGTTGTTTTACTTGTTTCAGTGGAAGGCTTGCAAAGTCACCAGAATATTTTGAAGATCTATTCTGTGGTCTAGCTTGTTTCCAGGAATACAGGTTAAGAACCAGTGGCAGGGCCCTGCGGCAGGTGAGTCTTCTTTCTGTTATCCACATAAGTGAACAATTTTTGTAGGTGGGGTTGAATAGTTAGGACTAATTTTCAGTTATATAAAATCAAAGAAAGTTGCAAATTAATTCATATACATGTAATAAAGCTTCTTGGTAATTATCTGCAGGCACTGTTTCAAATAGAACGAGGTAAGTGCTCCCAATGCAAGCTCGATTGTTGCAAGCTTGTCAAACACATTAAACCCTTACCCTTGGAAAAACGAGAAGAATACATCAGAAAGGTTGCTCCAAACATTGCGAGTAGAAAGAAACTGTAAGTGTTGCACATTGATATCATGCTTTTCCATATTCTTTTGCATATCTAGGGGGCTAGCGGAGTCGTGTGGTTTAAACTCTTTAGTATTATCATGTATGGATAATTATCCTGTTAATTTGTTGCTTTGATGCTGATTTCCTGCATCTACCACAGCCTAGATAAGCTTGCCCATGAGCCAATTGATGGAAATGCTTGGCATGCAGATCACATAATACCTGTCTATAAAGGAGGAGGTACGGTATATGTGCAAAAGTTTTGTGCAGTTGACTCTTGAATGGCATGATAATCTTTCTGATAAGTTTTGTGCAGTTGATTGTTGAATGGCATGATAATCTTTCTGATTTTCTGTCAGGGGAATGTAAACTTGAGAACATGAGAACACTGTGTGTGGCTTGTCATTATGAGGTCACCAGAGCTCAGCACAAGGAACTAAAAGAAATAAGAAAGAAGGCTAAAGAGCACCTGAAAAACGCCTTGAATAAACAAAAGGATAAAGTTAGTAGTCTCTCCTGTAGACTTTAATTATTTTTGTATCATTTTTGCAAATAAAAAAGAGCAATTTTTCTTTTGAGCTACGTACTTCTCTGTGAAAGCTAATAGAATGAGTAGAATGATTTCTCCATTACTATATGCTGTACTTATACAACAGTGAGTGTACATGTAAGGAAAAAGAATTAAAGTGTTCTAATGTCATCTAGCCTAAACAATACAGGTTGTACATGCATATATGATCTGCTATTAAGGCCAATAATGGCCGAGATATAGGAACTAGTAATGGCTAGGATATTGTCTTTTTAACACTCTGGACGACCATATGCAAATTATATGTTGTTGCCCCCGTTTGTGTATTTGTTTCTCGTACTTTGTCTTTTGTTATTACTATTATTCCATTTCTTATCTTTCCTTTCACTGCAGCCAAGTGAAGCAACAGAAGAACTAGATGACGAATTTTTGCTGGTAGCCGTCCCGGGCAGTGCCTACTCCTTAGGATTTCCTGGCAATGTTGCTGATGAAAAAGCTGCCGAATAGGGCATCTTTCATGTACCTTGAGGTTATTGTTCAAAAAGGTCGCTGGTCTTTTTCACTTGCGCCCCTTTTTTGTGCATGTTAAATGCAACCAAGCGCTTGTTGTACTTTGTTTGTGTGTGGGTGTCTTGACAACAATGTACATCTTTAGTGGCGACTTTGTTGTCAATTGAACAATATTACTGCAGTTATGGAGCAGTTTTAACAGGGGAATTGAATAAACATACATATACTTCATCTTGTCAGATGTTGCTGTATGGAAATTTTGAACTAGTTTAAGTTACATCAGGTTCTGATAAAAAGGGGGAAAACAAGAGTTTAAAACTTTTGTACATGCAACTGGACATTTTGTTTGTCGTTTGCTATTCCCTCCGTTCCAAATTGTAATTATTTTGATTTTTCTAGGTACTCTGCTCATAAAGAATGTAAATCTCACTTTTCAAATATTCTCAAATTTGACTAGATTTGTAGAAAATAGTATTATTATTTGTATCTCTAAATAGGTTCTTTATGAAAACATAGTTCATAATTAATCTAGTGATACGTCTTACGTGTTATAGCTTATTATGTTTTTTTATATGTTTGGTCAAAGTTAATACTGATTGACTTATTGAGAAGTTGCATTCTTTTTGGGATGGAGTACGTAAATTTTGCTACTGTATCTAGATAGATCATATATTTAGATACATATCAAAAACTATGTACATGGATGGAGTAAACCTGTATGATTTATTTAACGTGTTAACAAAAACGAACCTGTGACATGCAAAGCTCCCGAGTAGGCTAGTCTGATAATGCTACGCTCCGCGAGACTTGGGAGGAGCACGGCCATGGTACTGCTCCCGCTTGCTTACTGCAGTTGGGAAGCGAAAAAAAAACTGCTCATGCTCTGCTCCCTTGTCGTCCGGTACCTCGCCGCTGTTCTCCGCCTCCACCGCCCTTCTCTCCTGATGCTCTCCTCTCCCCGGCTGCCGCCTCCACCCTTCGCTAATTCACAGCCGGCCGACCTCAATTTGTGCTAGGAGCACGATTCTCTAGTGACGACCCCGATCTGTGCAAGGAGCTCTCGATTCACCGCCATCAAACCTGGCTTGGCCACTTGCTTACTTTATGCTGCTGTGGCCTGGAGATGGAGCAGCAAGAAGCTGTACAAAACAGTTTAAACGGGGACCTAGAGCGGCTGGAGCAACAAGCAGCAGGAGCTAAAGTGACGAGAATCGCTTTAGAGCGCTACCAAATTGGCCCCGCCGAATAATCTGTTGCGGAATCTCCAATCCGTCTCCATCGTTCAAATGTTTGATTGACGACCTCCAAACTGAACATGTCGTAGTTTCAAAACTAGTAAAAGACAGTAAATTATGGACAGTTCTTTTCTTCCATATGAAATCAGATTTTTCTCATCAGTCTTTTTCTTCTGTATTTCTGTACAAACAGTGCATTGCTTCCATACATGACTTATTTTTTTATCTGTAGAAGATTCAACCAAAATATCTGGTCAGGAAACCTTTTCGGCCAATTTCCCTAATGTTTCGAGAATCAGTCTGAAGCACCATCCTTGCAAAATAGTAAATTCAGTAGCTCGTGCTATATAAGTTAGGTGAACTACAGAGCCGATTTCATGTCTCACTGCAGAAGAACTCCTCGGCTCTGTCCAAGAAAGAAGCTGGGATCTTTCTATGCAACATGAAGCTCGATGAAGCTTCTTGAGCTCTTTGCTTCAGAGGCCCATCGTCAACTGCTCTTGTTCCCCTACCATCCTTTTGAACCTTATTTCTGTTGAACCTGATGCCCCCTGAAATACCCTTCCCAACAACTGGCCGTCAATTTTGCGGCTTATCCTTGTTGGGATGTCACCTTCTTGAGTTCCTGATCTCCAGAATGCTTTCATTGGAATTGTTTCCAGAACCATCCACAGCAATGGAATCTGGAGAATTTGATCCAGAAGTTTGGCAGGACTTGAGCAAGCAACGCAGCATATCCGTGCTTATTTCCTGCTGTACAACACTTCGGTTCTGATCGCAACTGTAGCAAACGGCGATCAGAGCAGCAGCCAAGATGGGCATCAACTCAGGGTCGCTGAAGAAAACAAATGGCAGGTCGCACACCTGTTTTCTAACTCATCAGATTTTTTGCACAACTCACAGAAATTGAAAGGGACATGGCTACACAAACAATTATTTACCTTGTGAAGTATGGTGGGACTCTTTCCCCACCGAAGAACAGCTTGGTTCCCAGCATGGAACAAAGAAAAGTAGCCAAGAAGTAGCAGTGACTCTAGAAGCAGCAAACCAACCTAAAAAAAATAGCACAAATCCTTAAACCTGAGAACAGGGGAGCGAACAAAAGGTGCAGTTGTTAAAAAAAGCAGCCATTTCAGGAGAAAAGTGCAAACAATAGTCAAGCATGAGATTCAGAAAATGGCAGTATGTCCAAATTTCTTGGTAATAATATCCAAAAGGGTCACAGATGGTCAAGACCGACAGAAACTATAACATGATCCAGTACCCCAAGTCATCAACTTTCTACGACATGCATTCATAATGGACATTACAAGGTGGAACATTTTATCATACGCTATTTTTTATAACAAATATGCACACTATGAGTCATATATCTAATGTAAAACGCCTGTTCAAGAAGTACAGATAATATTAAGACCATAGTTAATTAAAAGAGAGAGTTAGTATTAAGACCATAGTTAATAAAAAGAGCTGGTAGCTATATTCTAATGTCTCCTCCAGTGACATAAAAACTGCCACCTAGTCAGACATACAGCAAACTACACAGGCGCAACTTGCTATCATTATAGAGAAGGAAGAACTGAATGTGCAAAACTAGTAGAAAGTATTGCACAGAAACAAGTTGAAAGTGACTGAATGTGCAAAACAAGTTAAAAGTAATTGGTGCAACTTGCTATCATTACAGACAAGGAAGAACTGAATGTGCAAAAACTAGTAGAAAGTATTGCACAAGAACAAGTTGAAAGTAACTGATGTGCAAAACAAGTGGAAAGTAATTGAAAAAAATGGATATTTTAAACTTAAAATCGACCACAAAAGAACTCATGTTGGGAATAGATGAAGACACCTGATCGTTTGGCACTCTCCATTTGTTCATGCAATGACTCAGAAGGAAGCTGATTAAATGGAAGAACTCCATCTTCAGATCTGATCTAGCCTGAAAATAATGCATAACCAGTAAGAAAACAAACTTGTGGAGGTAAATAAAAAACATACGTAATATTCTAAAGATTCCCATAGCCATATTGTGGGGTTTTCCAGACAGAAAAATTATGCCTGGAACCTGTCTATAACTAAATTTATAATGTTATCATCGCCAATGATTAGTGAAAGAAAGCAGGTAAGTTTGCGCCTGAGACTACATTGATTTCAGTCACTGATAACATCCGTCCTTTTCATGAAGAGCACTTACCAGCATGTGCTGCAAAAGGTTATATCCAAACGCAGCATACATTATTCAAAACTTTCAATACGCCAGTGGCTACTTCTTCAAAATTTGACGGAAGAATCGCCAATGTCTGAAAAACGAGTTATTTAATTTTCCAGCAAGATCCATAAAATGCAATAAACATGCAAGATTTACTCTGCTAACTACAGAAGAAGATAGATTCCCATGTCATGAAAACTTTTGTTTCTGCTTATGTTGTAACAAAAGCCTAATAAGAAATAAAAGCACGCTAGAAAACGTGTACACACCATTTTAACATTTTTGTTACAAGAACACAAAGTACCTATTTTGATGATGTGGTATACCCATTGCTAGGCATATCAAATAATCTAAATGTGCGTGTGAAAAACATAAGATCTATACAGATATTTAGTTTGGAGACAGCATAACAAAATTACTAAAAAAAACATTGCACCTCAATATAGCAGGTGGACAAACCTGTTCCGATGATGACCTGTTGTTGTTTGCCTGGAGCAACACAGCAGTCAAAAGTGATGGTAGACTAACAAGGCCAGTCTCAGCCATTGCAGAAAGTAAGAGCGTTACAGGCTGCTTAAGATTCGTCTCATTGCCTTTTCGAGGACTATGATACAATGCACATACATTATTCACCTTTCTTCCTTCAAGAAAACTGTCCACTGTGCTATTTTCATCTCCCTGGCTAGGACTTTCAGAATGCTTCTTTGTAGTAACGCCCAAATCAGATGGTTGCATTGCTGAGTTGTTCAGGCCAGCAGAGATCACTAATAAGTCTTTACTAGCTTCATCAACCAATTTTCTGTCCACTGGAATGCTAAAGTCATGTTGTCTACAGGATTTGCTATCTTCAGCCAGTTCACTGTATATGGTTGGCGATTTGGCATCACCAGATTGATCAAGTGTCATTGATTGGCACCCCACACTGTCCTGTGAACTAAGATATTCATATTCTTGCACTATATTTCCACCTAGTGTCCTGCATTTGCAGGACTCCCAATCAATAGTAGACAAATTTCCGGGTTTCGATGTTAAGACAGACAAAAGGTTGAGACCAAACAGTATAGATGATGGGAGTGCGGATCCTTCCACCTGTGGCCTATCATAAAGGGCAAACAGATCTCTCAGACGATGTATTATTTGATAAGCTACAATCAGTTCTATCAAACCTCCCTGCATTTGAAGTTGTTCATCATTGATGTGTACATGGCCAACGATCATGGTCACAGTCCATAAAAATCCATCTAACACTTCACCTGATGACTCTGTATTCTCAATTGATGTTTTATTAGACAGAAGATTTGAACTTCCAGAGTTGGATGCTGCAACCTTAATATAATTCTCCAGTGATGCTGATAGCATGGGAATAATTGGGGGTAAAAGATTTTGTACTAGAAAATAAGTTCGATTAGCTGGAAGTGAGAGCAACACTCTCAACAGGCGCAAAAGGTAGACAGTGACTTGACAAGCTCCAGGCTTTGAAGTATGTGATGCAGGTAATGCGGACGCAATGAAGTCAAGCAAACCAACTTGTCTTGATGCATGCAGCTCAAGATCCTTCCCTTCTAAATACTAAACCAAAATAAAGAGAAAACGGTATTAGTAAACATAGTTAGCACTATAGTACAAACAATACATGAGGAATGAGAAGTACCTTTGTTATGTCACTGACAATCAAACCAATACTGGCAGCACCTTCTTTTCTAGCTTGGCGAAGTCTCTGAAGGTCTTGAAGCCATCTACTTAGCTTAGCTTTGGCAGCTCCAAGAGCAGCCCTGTGCGTGATTCCTGTACTTTCACCTATGGATGGTTCAATAAATTCATGCTTTAGAGCCATTAATCTCTGGCGAATCTTTTTAATCCTTCGTTTTGTCAGCACATTATTTGATGACTTAGCCATAGAATCTGCAGCGCTGGAATTGCCAGTTGTCTGTGAATCTTCTCCGCTGTTAGCAGAACTAGAACGGTTTTGGCCATCTTTACTTGGAAAGCGACGCTGAAAAGGTGAAGGCTGATCCCTAAGATCCATTGAGGCTCGCTCCCGTATTTGTTCTAGGTAATACTTGCGCCGCTGCTCACTTTCACGAAGCTTTTCAGCTAACTTTTGGGCTAAAAGTTCAGCTTCCTCTTGTTGCGCTTTTGCTCTTATCTCTTTTCGACGTTGTTGTTCTGCAGCCCTTGCTTCTCGTGCAGCACTAGATGCTTTGCGCTCCTCTTCTCTTCTGAAAATAGCTTCTTCTTTCTTGCGCTGTATTTCAGCAAGGCGCTGCATCTTCTCAGCTTCCAGGAACTTTCTTCGTTCCAAAACAGCTTCTTCCCTTGCAGTGTCCTCCTTTTGCTTTGTTTTGATCACCTGTAGCTTTTCAGCTCTCCGCATTTCAGAGTCATGAAGTTTCTGCCTCAGCAAGAATTTCTTGTTTTCTTCATTCAGTGACGTAATAAAACGGACCTCATTGACCTTAGTACTCTCATCACCAGCTCTTTTTGCAACCTGAGCAAGATATGCTTCGTGGCGAGATTACCACGTTGATGGCGTGCATTCATTACTTCTACGCAGTTTTGAGCTGCGCACAGCCTGCCACTCATTGACACGATGCAACTTTTCAGAGGTGCGCTGTAGCCTCTGAACCCTCTCGCTCTCTAGTTGACTCCTGATTCGCAGTGCTCGGGCATGCTTTTCTTCTGCTTCTTTTTTCATATCCAAAGCACTTCTTTTTTTCTTTTCAGGAGACATCAACTTGTCATGTAGAACACGAGCACGGTCTGTAACTTTTCTTCCAACACCAGGAGAATGAGAAACACGAGAACTCCGTACAGGAGATTTCAGTATATCTTCCCAGTTTCTTTTCTCCTTCCAGGCATCCATGGACTTCCAAGGTGCTGTAATTTGTTTTTCCTTTTCAAGATGAACTGTACTCTTTTTAACAACATCGGTTGACTTGAGCCTGTCAAATTTGTTTTCTGGCAACTCCCTGTCCTTCTTAAAGGTGTGTTTCTCTATTTCAGATATTGGTTCTAGTGACCCTCTTCTACTCCTTGCAGAATAGGAAGGCATACTTTGTGGATACGATTTACCAGACTTGAATGCATCCCTACTTAGCTTCTCGCCAGCAATCTTTTTCTCACTAGTATCAGGAAGTTTCACCTGACTCTCAACTTTCAAACTTATATTCCTAACAGTTGCTGATGCTGTAGTCAGCTTTGACGAGCTACTCAAAACTTCTTCAGAAGAGCTGGATGTAAATCTCTCTGCTGTTATACCAGCCTGCTTGCATGCCAGTTCCAATTGGATTCTCTGGAAGGCCTCTAGAGATGAAGACAGTATTTCTTGCCTGTGTGGAGAACTTGTCATCCTTCTGACCTGCTTATAAGATGTACCAAACATGACTTTAGAGCACTGAAATACAGCTGGAAAAATTTATCACGGAAGGAAGGAAAGGAAAACATGCAGCTATTAATTTTGTAAGAGTTCTCAATCTAGCAACACATCACAGTGAAGATACCATTCAATATGCATGCCCTACATCAGCAGGCTTTTCCAGTATGTCAATGAATCATAATAGACGGAAGTGAAAAATAAAACACAAGAAATCAGGATGCATAGTGAGAAAACAGACCTCCCAAGACAAGGCATGAGGTCTCCTATGGTCAGCTTTCACAGCCATTGGCATGCCCTCCTTTGGTACACCAGGAGATTTTTTGGTATTATCAAAATGCTCTGCTCTCGATTTAAGTTCTTGAAAATCGGAAATAGCTTCTTCAAGGACAAGTATGGATTCATTAATCTGTTCCATGTCACATTCTAGTTCACAGAGGAGGTAAAGTTCATCAACAGCCCTATTCAGATTCTCAAAAAGAAAACACCATAGCCTCTGCCTGAATCTTTCTTTGCTCTCAGCAGTTTCAGATCCAAAATACGCAGAAGCAGAAACTGGTGCTTGGTCATGAAGTAATGTTCTACCTTCCATGGAAGATGTAACTGGAACTTCATGATCATTATTGGAGCAGGATAGGGAAACAGAGTCAGCTGAGGCTGTTGAACCATTAACATTTGAAATACTCTTATCATCATTGGGTGTCTCTGTTCCCTGTACCATAATTGGAGATGTCTCATCAATTGTAGTTGTAGTACAAGTATCCATCTCCACTTTGAGTTCACTTGCATCTTTTTGCACATTTTTTAGATGTGCAACATCTTCACTATGTCTGTGGCCTCTAGAAGAATTATTATCTCTGAATGAATCTGAAGGTAATGATAGACCTGGAACTTCATCAAAGTCTCCAAACTTGACAGGAGTATTGGACAAAACACCTACTGACTCTGTTTTGGGAGAACATTTTACATGCTGAGAAAGATCTGCACGTTTTGCAGGACTGTCTGAACCGGTGGTGGGTTCATGAGGCAGTGAAGGATCTACATGATCAGCCAGATCAGTTTTGGGAGGTTCACTTGTTTCTTCAGCCACCACCAGTTCTTCAGGTCTTTCAACTATATCCTCTGAGGCTGAAGCATTTAAGCCACTATTCAGGCCACTGACACTAGTGCCGAAATCATTGCATCCTTCACCAACATTTGTTGTTTCTCCACTACCAGATTCATCAACACCAACATTAGCATTTATGCTCGGAGGTGGGTGTTGCGGCTTGCCATGCCACCTTGAACTGTCACTGTTACAGTTAGCACGTGACCGTGATGGTAAGTTTGGAATTTTATGGCTGGAACCACCTGAAGACCTCTGCAATGTGTATTTTGAGCTGGACCGATGCTTCTGTAAAATGGTTGTATAGTGAATTAACAACAACAATAAGAATGGGCCCAGCATAATAATGCAGAAACATACGAGAAAATAATGACCAGAGCAAAATAAGAGAAAATAAGACAGGCAAAGAACATTACCTTTTTCACTTCAAACCACCCTGATCCCAGGTCATCCACATCGCCATTGTCATTATCCATAACCAGTTAACCACCGAACGATTATCAGTGGTTCCTTAAAGCATTCTTGCTGTCCCAGACAACAATTTCGTGATAATACACTTGCTGCCAAGGAAATATTTGAGCTAAATTATTTTTAGCGTGACAAAAAGGGATTGCAAAATCACACATTTTTCAAGACAGTCGATTGGTGATTATGTCTAGTCCCTTAGCTAAAAACTACTAACTGACACAGACAAGAATCGCTAAACCCTAAAACCAAAATGCCCTATAAGTTTAATAAGGAACTAGACAGAAGAGGGGTTCACTTGGATCATTGACAGATAAACATCCAAAATGCACTATAATTATTAAGCACGCGAGAAGAACCTAACTGAACAGGGACGGGTTAATTGATGGACTGGGTTTGTGGGGCACCACGAAGCACAAAGAACTACAAGCTACAACCAACACGACTGGCGGAGAGAGAGAAATGAGCATGGACTTGATCGAGAACAGCACCAACTCTTCAACGACCAAAAATAATCCGTCCGTCCGTCCAAGAGGGCGAGGATCACTCACCGACACGAGAAGGAACGCGTCTTCACCGAACCCCCGACAGAGAGAGAAGCAGCGGCGGCCGAGGATCTGACGGGGAAGGAGGTAGCGGCGCTGCGCTTCGCTTGGCGGCGGCGAGGCGCTGGGCCTCTTGGAGTTAACGCCCTGTCGCTCAGCGCAATCGAACGACTCTCACCGACGCCTAGTTCGTAGCTCGCCAGGCCCAGTGAGGCCCAACAACGCCACAGCAGTCAGGAGCGCAGTGGAAAATTCCTCCCTGACCCCTGCGTCGGCCGCGCTCGCCGACGCTCTCCGTGTCCGGCGGTGCTACCTTCGTCGTCACGGCCCCCGGCCGGTCTCTCTTCCCGTGCTCTGCTATGTGCTCATGGCCTGCGTCCGTACCTCTCCTTGTGTGCTCTGGGGCTGGGAGTAGTGGGGGAGGAGTGGGGCTTCCCCAAATCCCAAGGAAGACCTTGATGTGCATTTGGCTTTTAATTGCTGCAATTAATATAATAATTGCGTGTTAGCGCGTCCTGCACTGCATCGCCTTTAGTTTGTTCCAAATCGTTACCTGATCGGTTGATACATTTAAAGAAATCAATAGTTGGCGATGAATATAAATAATTTATATTATCAGATTCACCGCGACAATTTTTTTCGTAATGTACAATTAATTTTTATTTAAAATGCTGTGTTTTCTATGAAATTGCTAATTAAAGTGTTACTTTTGTAGATTGCGTCGGCATCCTAAACGTAAATGCGACCTTTACAAAAGAAAAATCACTGCCGCATGGACTTAGGAGATGCTAATTCGCAGCCGCACTTTGAATATATTTAGGGAGATTTTTCATTCAAAGGAAAAAATAGACACCGAAAATGGAGCCACACTCAAATTTCAGCCCAAGATGACTCCAACCTGAAGTTCTGAACCCATCAGCAGCAAGATGTACAATTTCTTATAACATTTTAATGTAGCAAACAGACCTAACTTCGCATTTCCTTGGAGAACAAACTTGATTTAATCTGTGGCAGATCCTTGCAGGTAAATTTCATGACAGCCGTGAAATCTTAAGGTAACACTTTCACTGCCAGGGGAGCTTAACTCCCATTGAAAGCTTACAATGTAAAATGAGTAAAATACACCGGAGGTCCATTAACTTTCGGTGAAGTGTCATCTAGGTCCATCAACTTTGAAACTGTATTTTTGGGTCCTTTAACTTTCGTTTTGTGTCATCTAGGTCCATCAACTTTGAAACTGCATTTTTGGTCTATGAACTTTTAAAATGATTCGATGTAGGTCCACGCGTGCATGCATGCACGTCGGCTTCGGCTGCAGTACATGAGCGGCTGCAGTACAGTAGTATGCCCTATAGACGGGTCCTGTTGCGTACGTGTGCCTGCGTGTACCTGTATCCTCTGGCCGGTGTGTGATGGCATCAAGTCAGCGCTCGATGGCCGGTGTGATGGCATCAAGCAGGCGGGTGGCCACACACCGCCACACGCCGACGCCGCTCCCGTGCTCCGTCGCCGAGGCTGTGTGGCCATGTCCTTGGGCACGGTGACGTACTCCTTGTACACGCCGGCCTTCGAAGGTCTTGGGCACGGCGGCAATGGCCTCGGTGATGGTATTGAAGTCGCCGCTCCCGTCCGGGGCCACCACTTTGTTGGGCTTCTGCAGGCTGGGCAGCTGCAGGAGCCTCCGCTGGGTGGCCGGCATCCACTTGGGGAAGTCGCCGGGCGGCACCTGGCTGCGCTCGTCTTGGATCTCGTCGAACGTGCCGATGAGGCCCGTGGTCAGTACCCTGTGCTCAGGATGGCCGCCGGACATGGTGTCCTCCATCGTTGCCTCATCAAGCTGGCGCTTGGCCTCGGTGGCCGCCTCGTCGATCCCCATGAGCGTCCGGGACAGCAGCTCGCGCTTGCCGGCTAGCTCGTCGGGGAGCTCCTCCGCCGCGAGAAGCTGGCGGTTCGCCTCGGCGGACGTGCTGGCGATGCTCTCGAGCTCGGTCGACAGAAGGTTGCACCGGGCAGCGTGATCGGTCTCATCGTCGGGCGACACGCCCAGCTTTTTCTGGCGGGCGAGGACGTCCTCTCCCTGGGCGCTGGTTATCTGAGACCACAAGGTGCTAAGCAGGCGCCGGCCGTTTGCACCGTGGCCCACGTCCGCGATCTCGCCCAGCTTGTCATCGACAGACAGAAGCCCGCGGCCGCCGCTGGTCACCTCCTCGGCCTCGCCCATCTGCCAGCCAAGAAGCCGGCGGCCGTGCCCCGCACCCGCCAGGGTGGCGTTCAGAGTTTGGCTTCCTCCGGCGGCGCAGGTGTAGACGTAGGTCATGACGCCGGAGACCTAGACCCGGAGGTCCTTGACGTGGCGCACCACGTCCTCGGGCTTGAGCCTCGCCATGGCCCTGAGGTCCTCGGTGGAGTCGTCGAGGAGCTTCTTGCACACGTCCATGGCATTCCTGGTGAGGTTGTCCGTGGCGCCCTTGCCGATGTGCGCGGACCGCTGGAAGGCGGCGGCGACCTCGTCCAACGCCACGTTGAGCGCGGCCTTGAGGACGTCCTCCGGGTCGGAGGTGTCGTTCACGACGGGCTTCAGGCTCTGCTCGCACTTCTGCGGGTACAGTGTGGACGCTCACACCGTGGAAAGCTTCACGCTGGAGTACATGCCGGCGGCGTCGTTGTCGTCCACCTTGCTGGTGTGTGGTGTTTGTACGTGCCGTACCGGTGCGCCGCAATTCATGCAATGGAGCTGTTAATAAACATGAAGTGTACGTCGTCCCGCGCCCTAAACGTACACGTACATACGCTCGTGCGTTGTCGGGGCACGTGTACGTGTATATGCACAGTGACACGGCTACACGTATGAGACGCACCTGCCGTGCCCCCTGCCTGCCATGTGATGTACCGGGCGCCCGGGCAGCCGAGAACGGACACAGGATCCATCGCCATCCACCGTGTATGTATGTGTATATCTGGCCATATGGGTGGTACTACATATATACGTCGTGTGTACGCGTTGGCGGCCGTACAAGTTTTGGTTCTTGTGTGCCTGCATGTAAATGTAATGTACGTACATTCATTCACATACATGGCTGCATAAGTGTATATAGGCCGTCCGATCCTCTTCGTCGACACGTCGTGCGGTCGTGCCATCCATGATTAAGAACGATCGAGAGGAGCTAGTACGTACGTAGTACTGCTAGCGAGTGTCGTCCGATCCTTCTACATACACACGTACGGCTGCCAATATAATGCAAGTCACAAGCACGGGAGCGGCGTCGGCGTGTGGCCACCCGCCTGCTTGATGCCATCACACCGGCCATCGAGCGCTGACTTGATGCCATCACACACCGGCCAGAGGATACAGGTACACGGAGGCACACGTACGCAACAGGACCCGTCTACAGGGCATACTACTGTACTGCAGCCGCTCATGTACTGCAGCCGAAGCCGACGTGCGTGCATGGGGAACTACAGTGAACCATTTTAAAAGTTCATGAACCAAAAATGCAGTTTGATGGGCAATGAACCATTTTAAAAGTTCATGGACCAAAAATACAGTGTGATGGACCTAGATGACACAAAACGAAAGTTAATAGACCCAAAAATGCAGTTTCAAAGTTGATGGACCTAGATGACACTTCACCGAAAGCTAATGGACCTCCGATGTATTTTACTCATGTGAAATTTAGCTAAGGCAACAAATGCATATGCATTTACAGGCAACAATGGTGAATACAAAGAATTATCTACAACAGTTAGTCAATTGCACACTCAAATGTACATGCTGGCTCCGTTCGTTTAGCTGAATTTGGCTAAAAAAACAAGCCAAAACACTGTTCCGGCTGAATTGTTGTCAGAGAAAAATACTGTTCTGACTAAAAAAAGAAGCCGAACAAGCCGGATTTAAAGACGATCTACCTTCCTACCCGCCGTCACCATCAGAAGCTTCACCAGGACGCCACTCTATTAGAGCTCGGTTCTGTGACTTCTCATCAATGTGGATGGAACTGGGAGATCTGGCGCCGCCTGACGGTCCTTCGATGGAGCAATTAGACAACTCTATCAACATTGCAGAGAACCCGCAAGAGCAAGATTTGCAAACTGTGCCCAGGTTCGTCATGGAGTTAAATCTCTACAGTGAAATGGGGGTGCATTAGTACTATGATGAAGTGACCAACCTCAAAGTACAGAATACTCTAAAGAGTACTATGTCATGTACTCTTTCCGTCTGAAAAGAATGCAACTACGGGTTACGTGCCAACAAAAGTAGTTCACGTTTAACCAAATTTTCAATGAATAATATCCACATTTACGACTCCAAAATAATTTATTATGAAAATATATTTCGTAATTAATCTAATGATATTTATTTGATATCATAAATATTTATACTTTTTTATCTAAAGTTGATCGAACTTAAGATAGTAAACCATGATGCTGTGCTAGAATTGCATTCTTTCGTGGACGGAGGGAGTATATGTATCACGTCCATCTACATGCTCATACCTCTAAAGCAGCCTTCAACTTCTTAATCTCCATAGCTTGTGTGTGAGCTAGTTCATGTGATTCCTGCAATCACCTAAGTGCCCCACTCAATTTTGTCTTCTCTTTGGAGACCTGTTTCAAACATCAATAACAGAACAGAAATGTAAGACACCAGACAAAGAAGTCACTAATATAACAAGACCAGGGCAACACGTCCATTTCCTTACAAGTTATGTCAGTAACTTCAAGTTTGAGATGGTAGAACAAAAATTTCAGAAACATCTGCAGCTATAATTCCAGGTGCAATCACACGAGGTGAAAATTTTCTATATCACTACCTGAGTCTCCAGCTCCTGAATATGTTGAATAGCTGCCTGCTCAATGCAAGATCGACGCTTGTATTCTTCCTCAAGCATGCCTGTTATCTGGTACCTTAGTTCAGCCATTTGTTGGGTGAGATCTTCTGCATCCTCTTTTGCCTTTAACTTTTGTTCTCGAAGCTCTTCCTAATAAACAAACAAAATACTTACATTACACAATCAAAGGGAAAGTTGTATTCAAGTATGAACCAGAAAAAATAGACAGCTAGTCAGCTACTTCAGTTTATGAGTATTAATTATGGCATGCACTATAGCGAAATATATTTGGCTTGCCACTGACACCCTACCCCAGACCCCGCACAGAGCGGGAGCTCTCTGCACTGGGTACGCCCTTTTTTGTTTTTGGAAGATGTTTGGGAACAAGGATGGCACTTGACCAAAATTAGAGCTTATACCAATTTCTTATTACATGTGGTAAACAACCAATTACCTTGAGCTGCTCAATTAGAAGTTCAGATTCTTCATTTCGTTTTGCCATCTTTTCAAGAACTACATCACCATTTTCACATTATGCATGAACACCGTTCTCCAATGTTTTGTCAACTTGCTGCCCAGATCTAGAAGGGGATTGTTTAGGAGCTCTTACAGGCAACAGCTCTTTCAGTTGCTTATTCTCCAGTACAAGTTGATCAATAGTTCTCTGTGCCTCGTGTAGCTGGAGCTCATGTTCTCCCAGTAATTTGTCAATTTGAGCTCTGTGCTCAGCAGCATGTTGGGTAAAGCTTTCGGCGTCAAGTAGCCTCTGCTCAAGATTAGTCAAATCAAGTTTCAAGCTCTCGATTTCACATTGTGAATCTAAAGCTGTACTTTCAAGCTTCTCTATCTGTGCGGCTGCCTTCTGCAACTCCTCTTCTTTACATCTGACTTCTTCCATCAGAAGCCAGCACTGAGAATCAGATCGTATAAGCTCATTGTCCATCACTCTCACTCTTTCTGGGAACTTTTCAAGTTCAGTCAGCTTCAGTTCAAGACTGTGAATATGCTCCCCCATGATGTTTGCTTCAACATTCCGTATATTTAACTGATCCTGCAAATAGTCTGCAATTGCAGTCAGTAAAGACTGCCAAAGTAACTAGATATAGAGTAGCCAGACCAATGAGAAACAGAACAATTACTAGTGCATACCAATTTCCTGATAGCAGTTCATCAATTCTGTTTCTAATTTCTCAATATAATGCCTGTCCTTCTGGCAGGCCGAAGAGGCTGCATTTTTGTCGTGCTGTACTTTCTGCATTAACAATATTATGAACTCAACCAAACAGTTGAACAAATTAATGATACAATTTTACCATTTTCTTACATTATTCAAATGTGAAATACCTTAAAATATTACATACAGGAACTATAAGATCATGGGTACCTCTTTATTCTTTTCTTTTCTATGAAGAACCTTAGCACCATTAGCAGGATAATGGCCGTTGGAGCTACTAGACATCTGCAGCAGCAAAAAACCGCAAGCCCCTGAGAAGTATACACAAAAATGGCATGGCTAAGCTAAAATGACATCTAGACCATTAGCAGGCTAGTGGCCGTTGAAGCTAATAGACATCTGTAGCAGCAAAAAACCACAAGCCACTGAGAATTATACACAAATATGATGCTAAGCTAAAATGGCATCTAGTATATGTAAGTTATAACACATGATAAACATATCTGTCACTAGAGCACCACTGCCATTGTAAACTGAAGAAAAGGAATTGGAGATTTACTAGAACATAGGAAAACCCTGACCTTAAATAGATTCAGATACAATAATGGACACACTACAGTACTCTATAACCCTTTGTCAGATTCAAAGATGTGCCGAGGCAAATCTTTGTGATCAGGAGAGAAATTGGCCAGAACAAATCAAAACAAGCATCACAAATTGCAGATTTTGGAGCAGCATATCATGAGGAGAACAAACTAGAGAAGATGATAATCATCAAGCAACCTTTCATGGTTCACTGAAATCGTACCTACAGCAACTGGTAAGCATCCAGTTGAAAATAAACGGGCCAGCTTAAGCCTCTCCAGCTTAATATGTACTACTAAGAGCATCTCCACCAGCTTAATATGTACTAAGCTCGATATCTCATTCATAAAGGAAAGGATTTGAGGAACAGCAGGTGGAAGAAAGATATATCCCAAACTTGAGAACACCCGGTTGCTCCAATCCTAAACTTGTAAAGGTCTACCCGACAAATACCCTCCTACATAATAGTTTCTAACTGATTCCCTACCAAGCGCAGTCATCTCACAAGGTCCCCGCAAAAGGTCGACCAAAATCCACAGGAGAAGGTTGGGGAAGGCCGCGGGTTCCGGGAGCTGACCTGCTACGGTGCACGAGCGCGGCCTGCAGTGACGGCTCAGGCCGTATCCGTCTCCGGCGATCGCCGGAGAGAGGCGGCTCCGAGGACGGGCACTGGCGTCGGCGCGGGACACGATGTGGCATCCAGCAGCAGGACGACTCGATGATGAAGCCCCAGCCGTGATTTCGCAGCGCTTAAACGCGATTCGGGGCCCTAATCGCTGTTAGCACGGGGCCACGGGCGACCACGGGGGATAAGGTAAGAGAAAGAGAGCGACGGAGCCTCGGAGGGAGGACCCTATCAGCACCTTGCTTGCTGATAGAAATGTGAGGAAGGAGGAGGCATAGATTCCCCAATGTGCCATCAACTGAATCAACTCGGCTGAACCCAGGTCAGCTCTCGGAACTACCGGAAGAATCGTCATATTAACTACTAGAAGAACATGGTGCCCTTCGTATTGGAGGAACAAAACTTTGGTGTGACTATCGCGATTCCATCGAGCGGCACCGGCAGGCTATGGCTGTTCCAGGACCAGTCCATGGGCGGCCCACCCCACGGCTTTTCCACCTCGGTGCCGGGCGCCAAGACAGGACCTGCAAGGAGGGAGACTCTGCATCAGTTGTCACCGCGTACAGCTTGTCACCGGCAGCCATGGCTGATCCCAAGCTATACACATCGTCTGGAACGCGTGGGCCGAGGGTGAGGCTAGCGTTCTCCGTGTTGTAGACGAGGGTCGGGGAAGCATGTCTGCCACGGCGCCAACGATTGGTGTCGACAAAGATGGTGGTGCCCAGGGAGGTGAAGGCCATTAAACCAGGCACCGGTGCCGCTAACCGGAGGGAAGGTTCAGACAGATGCCCTGAAGGATCCATGTCGTCGGCGTCGAGCTTGTGGATGCTGTACCCGTCCCTCCAATCGTCCAGAATGAAATACAGGTGCTTACGTCTCGTTGCGTCCAGAATGAAATACAGGTGCTTACGCCTCGTCGTGGCGTAATCCTCGTTCCGCCGCCGCCGCTTGGACGACGAGGACGAGGGCGATACCCCCTCTCCGATCTGCCCATTGCGGCTCCCGGCAGAGAGTTTCTAGCAAGGAAAAGAAGGGTCTTCGATCCCCTATCAACGCAACCCAGATTATGTTCGATATATAGAGCAAACTGTGCAGCATAGTCGAAACAAGAAATAATTTCGATTCTCAGTCGGTTCGGCTTGATTCTTGATTAAAGGAAGAGAACGAGCTCTTCGGTTTAGAGCAGCAATAGCGCAATGCATGCTCCAAAAACATCAGTTTGCCCAAATAACTCAGATCAAACTGAGGTAGCAAGATAACATTTTCCATGGTTCAAATTTTCAAGAAGAATCAAAGCCACCACATGTCTCGACTCTCGAAAAAAGTGTTTCTAAGAGTTTTAAGGAAATAAGGCAGCTCTGACTCGGAATTTCATCTTAACATCAACTCATACTAGACATAAACAGTGAGACTAATCACTCAGCTGCAGCAACCTCCTGTCCTCCCATGGCCTCGTCGCCTTCAGCAGGCCTGTCCATCTTGACACCAACATCCTCCTTGGCATAGTCACCATGGACCTGGACATCACAGAGGGCATTAGCTCAAAAAGCCACAGATGAACAGACAAACTTTGCTTCAAGTAATTACCTCCATGAGCTTTCCAATGTCGAACTTTGGTGCTTTCAGGATCTTCACCTTGCGGATGAAGACATTTTGCAAGGGGAATATGCTAGAGGTGGCTTTCTCGATTTCCTTTCCAATGACCTCAGGGATGAACTTGGACACAAGCTCTTTCAAATCACAAGTTGAAGCTTGGTTGCTCATGATTTCAGTCATCTTCCGACGAATCTGCAAAAACAGAAATGGTGTTCACATGACAAGACAAACAAGCTAAGAGAGATTCAAGCCTCTTTAAAACATGAGATATCTCCAGAACTGTCACCTGTCTGATTTGGCTTGCTTGAGCATAGCAAGTGCGCTTCACTTGATTGGGCCGCCTCTTGGTGAACCCAATGCAGAACAGCCGCAGCATGTAGTTATCAGTGGTCTTGACATCAACATGAGCCTCGATAAGTGTCTGCCACTTCTTGACCAGTGAACGGAGCTTGTCCGTGGTGAAGCTCATACCCTAACAAGATGACAAGATGGTTAGAGACATAATATAGAACATAGGTCTCGTAACAGTGTGAAGCAAACTAGAGATCATTACCCAGAAGTTTGTGAGAACATTTCTCCCTTGTACATCCTCTGCACGAAGTCTGATCTTCCTGTACGCCTGGTCTTCATCACTCTGAAGATCAGCCAAGGAGACCTCAAATACTCTGTGCTTTAAACCCTCAGAGGCAATCTGAAAACAAACAGAAGAAATTGAGATAGAGGCAGTCATGGAATCACAAAAAAGGATAAAATAGATACTTTGAATTGATTAATTGAAGATTACGATAAAGCTACAAAGGAACCAACAGGGTCATCGAAGATTACTGATCCTCAACTCAAGTCTAGTAACAATCCAATAACTCAGTCCAACAAATGATCTATATCTTAGAAAGTCAACATAAAACATTTTTAAAGCTACCTAACCAAATAAGGGCATTGATTCTTTACCACAAATAGTGATACATAGAGAAAACGGACCAAAGAGTAAATAATCTTAGGGCTTCCAACTTATTATATGAACAAATAACAAATCTGACAGCCTACAGAGGTCTCATCTTACAGAGCAAATACTACAGAGCCAAGGTCTGAGTGAAATAGTACTACTGTAAATCAGGTACAATGTCTAAATAAAAAGTATTGATAGAAATGCCATATACACTTGGTTGTTGGTATGATTTCACAGCAGTGAAGTCAAGATACATGGATCAGTGCATCCATTCTGGCATACAAATTTATAGAGCACTGCACAAGATCAAGAATAAGTCTGACCTGACTGAACAAGTGCCCTAACAGATGGATATGGTAAGGTTCAGCAATGCATCTCAGCTACTAATCAATCACTACTTCACCACAATACACGAAGGCAACAGTATGATACCCAAACAGAGCGAGAAGGTGAAGAGCGGGCATACCTTGGTGCCCTGTGTCCTGGAGACCAGGGTCTTCCCGATGTTGCGCACGCTGAAGACCGACGGAGCCTTGATATCATACCAATCCTTTTTGCTGAAAGGATCCACGCTGCAAGGCAAGAGACACAGACACACCAAGAAAACGGGTCAGCGCCGGCCAGAGGAGGCCAAAGAACAGCTGATAACGAATGCCATGCATCATTCAGTTCATAGTACAGCCAAAAAGGATTTTGAAGTGGCCAGAAACATCAGAAATTGGCTAGAATTCGACACCAGATGCAGTGAAATTCGACACCAGATGCAGTGAAATTCGAGGGACAATTTCAGATTAGAATGTGTGTAACGATGGATAAAATTCAGCAGTTCTGAAGTATTCTTCAGGTAATCAACAATCAAAAGTTGCTGCACCCAACCCGACACAACTAAGAAAAAATAACTATCAAATAGTTCCGCGGTTTAGCATGGAACAAATGGGCACATCAATATCACAGGCCTAGTGTCCTCGCTCAAAGAAATCATGTGACGTGATAATATTACAGGGTGATGAATGGTCATCTGCGCACCAAAAGGTCCACAAGAGCAAAATCTGACCATCTCTGAATGTTATATTCCCGGTTTCCGATCCGCAGACTGAAGAGGATAAGGGGGCCAGATACTCACGTCTTCTTCTTGCCTCCCTTCTTGCCCTTGGAGATACGCTTATTCTTCCCAACCGCCATTGCTGCTGCGAGAGCTCGTCGCTGCGTCCGTGCGGCGGCGAGGGGGGCGGCGCGGCGTCCGTGACGAGAGGAGGCGCGGCTGGTTGCGGGACGGCGCTAGGGAATGGGGCGGATCCAGAAGACGACGAGCACCAGAGCCGGATTTGGAACGGAGATGAGGGGATGCAGGAAGAGAACGACGGCGGGGTGCGCTAGGGTTTGGAGGGGCACTGGTTGCCCTCCACTTTTATACGGGGGGAGGGGGGGCAGGCCAACGGGCCGATTTGCAGGCCCCCAACGGTCGAGGAGCGAGATCCGCCTGGCCTGCTAAAGGCATTGTATGGGGCGGGCCTTTGCGGGCCAAGGGCGTTATCAGGCCGTGCTAGTGCCGGGGGTGCGGCCCAAGCACGGCACTACTATGCAGGCCGGGCCGGCACTGGCACGAGTGAGTTCGGGCGGGGCCGTGCTTGGGCCAGGTCTTAACATTTTTTTCCCTTCCCATGAATGAATTAAATCTAATTTGTGTCAGAAGATTAGCTTTCTCTTGTGTTCCTACAAATTATTAGTACTCTTTTTCAGTTATTATGCAGGATGATAACCTGCCTCTTTTTCCGGTGATATGGATTGCAAACATATAAATTATTTATTTAGTTCATCTTTTTCAGTTATGTTGATGATATCCTTCAGCCCCACATCCACCCACACCCACTGTCCTCATCCTGACGCGCAGGAGACTGTGAGGCCTGGCGTGCTCCTTGCCCTCGGCACACTCAGGAGGTTTGTGCTCGACTCCCTCGCGGTGCTCAAGTGACCTGTGCTTGCAATCATTCTGGCCGGAGTACTGCCGCCGCAGCGTTGGCCGGGTAGGCGCTGGCCACCTCGGGCTCCTCGCCTCCATCGCACGAGTACATTGCGCTATGCTCACAATTTCCACTAGGATGTGAGTCAGCCCTCTTCATTCCTCCGTCACCCCTGGTCTACTTTATTTGCTTCTAGATCTAGTTTTGTGACCATATGTGTTCATCACGTCTGCCATCTAAGGGCACATTCGGCTTGCTGAAACTTGGCTGAAAGTGGCTGAAAAATACTGTTCTGGATGAAATGTTGTGAGAGGAAAATACTATTCCCGCTGAAAAAAAAGCCGAACAAGCCGGATATAAGGTAAGCCGAACAGGGCATAAGTCTCAATTAGAGATTGCAGATTGTTAATTGTTTGGTGTAATGCTAGATAAATTAATCTCGGGATTTTCAGTGTACTCCTACTGATTGTCACATTGATAATTGTGCATAATTTCTGTGGGGGTTATTAGTTCAACGGGGGAATAGATTCTTGTAGTAAGGGCCGGCTTGGTTCACTTCCAAAATTTACCAAACCAAAGATTTGGTAAAGTCATGATTTTGGTTAGTATTTGATTGCTTACAAAAACTTGTCAACTTTTCACATTTAGTTTGCCAAATCTTTGGTAACTTTGTTTGCCCAACTTTTGGCTACCAAAACTTTGGCATAGTAAATTTTAGTCACGAACCAAGCAAGCCCTAAGTACCAATGACTTAGCCTAACAAGAATTTATGGAAATTATATAACATTATTTTATGTTATCATGTCCACTTTTAATCTATTAATATTTAATAATCATGCCATTATTTATTTTCAAAAAGTTTCAGTTACCTTGACTGTAAGGAGGACCATTGGTAGATGGTGGTCCTGCGATGTGCATGACACGAACAAGCCGAAGGTCTCCATCTGGTGCCACCACACAATCAGATTCCATGACATGGGGATGAGGTCTCAAGGAACACGTCTACTACCATCCAGTTTCGAGGATGCCGCTAATATGGACGTTTAATTATTGAGGTTTTACTCATACCATCAGTCTTATGAAATTTGTAAAAGCACTTAAAATCCAACCATTACCTCCAGCAACAGCCACTACATCCTAGCCCTCGAATTCATAGGATCCACTCGTCATTAGAGCAGCTCCAGTGTAATCTAAAATCGAATTGAGAGCTCATCCGACCGAACCATGCACACTGGAGTATTCGAACCGTATGTGTAGAAATCGCACTCCGTAGGTGAGTTGAACCGAGGCCATAAAATAATCAGTTCCGTGCACCACGTGAGCAGATAGAAGCAAAGAACGGTTGGAGAGAGGAGGAGGAGGGGGAGAGGGGGGTCATGGACTCATGGTCGGAAGAGGGTGTTGAGAAGGGCACGCCAAGGAGGAGTCGCCGGGGCGGGGAGGGGGTGGTGTCGTCGGAGCGAAGACATGGGAGCAAACACACTAGGGAGCATTGGAGTGTACTAGAACATATAATAAGTCTGATTTGATAGTATTATACCAACACTACTGCAATACCATGACGTGTGTGCAAGCGTACTAAAATGCACGCCAAACCTCGGATATAAGAGGCTAGCCTCAACATTTTGTACGAGGCTTTCTCTCTCTCTCCCCTCTTACCTAGGGGGGCGCGGGTGGAGATTGGATCCTTGATTTCCAACTTTGAAACCTGATGCACAAGGAGAGAGCTCAGGATCGCGTTGGTTGTATGTTTTTTTTCATAGTAGGGGTCTCAACTTAGTAATCTCTCACATAGATTGAGCTAATTGCTTCTAGCTCTCATCTTTTGAATCCCTTTGCTGAACATCTTACTAATGTTAGTTCGCCGTCCACCCACCAGCACCGATGGAAACGCTGGCCCCGTTCGATTTACCCCATATTCGGCTTGTTCGGTTTCTTTTTTTAGCCGGAACAGTGTTTTTCTCTCACAATAATTCAGTCAGAACAGTGTTTTCAGTCAGTTTCAGCCAAAATTCTGCCAGCCGAACGGGACCGCTATGTCAAAATATTTTATATACATATTTTTTTTTAAATTAAAATGCTATAAATTATAGGATATATCTGTAATAGAATGTGACTGACAATTTAGCTTATTACACCATGCTATCTCTAGAGAAGAAATAGTACCTCATAGAAATTAAGGGCCTCTAGAAGTTATAGGTCGATCGATCTATATATAGACCAAATTTACTCGTGGCATGTATAGAGTTACCACAACGGCTGTTATCATGCAAAAAAAAAAAACATCATGGTTTCTAACAATTTAGATACACGTAACAGTGCCGCTACAATTGCCTAAGAAAACCCCTTTAAACGCTGTGATACCGCCACAGGGCCACGTGTCTTCCTCGTAGATTTAACACGTCATTAAACTATGATGTGGCAGCCCTCCATGTTGGAGGCCCTTTTCTCTTCTAAAGTAACCTACCTTCCCCTTCTGTCTCCATTGCAGGGCCCATGTGATTCTCTTCTCTCTCTCCTATCGGTTTTTAACTTTGCTTCCATGCATGGATTTCTCCTCCCCCCAAAGGCCCCAACCGCACCCGTCGCCCCAACAAAACCTCCGAGCAGATCACGACCTCCGCCATCCCGCTTAACCACACCACCCTACCTTTCCTCCCCTCTTACTCCTTCAGCACTCTGCTAGCCTCAAGCGTGCTCTCGCCCTCTTTCTCCCAGATCTCCGACGCTCGACGCGCCGCGGATCCTCCTCCCGATCGCGTCCTGATGACCTCCAGGTCGGTTTCTTGATCCCTCGATCCCGAATCAATCCCACAGCTTCTTGCTTCGTGATGGATGTCGTGGAGCTTGCTGCGGCGGCGAGGCATGGATGCAAGGTCTGCGAGAAAAGCTTCCTGTGCGGCCGGTCGCTCGGAGGAGACATGAGATCGCGCATCTCGCTCGGCGAGGCGGCGCTGGAGGTTCACGCCGACGACGAGCTGAGGCGTGCTTCGCCGAACGGTGGCCGGAGCTGCAATGGAGTGGTCGGGTACGGGCTGAGGGAGAATCCCAGGAAGACTCGGCGGCTATCCGACTTCGCCAACGAGGAGGATGGCGACCATGGCGATGGCGATGGCGATGGCGATGGCGATGGAGAGCAGCACAAGGCGTGCCGGGAGTGCGGGAAGCTGTTCTCGTCGTGGAGGTCTCTGTTCGGGCACATGCGGAGCCATGCGTCCGGCGGCAGGTATCGCGACGACGAGCATGATGTGGACGTGGAAGAGGAGGAATTAGTCCCAGTCCCAGAGGAGGCGGAAGCAGAGGAAACAGAGATGGTGACGCCGATAGAGGCGCCTGTGGCGGCGGCGCCGGCGGCTCTGACGGTGCTGTCCGCGCCCCCTAGGCGGAGGCGCCGAACGATGCGCGTGGCAGCTCCTGCCCCCGTGCCGCCGTCGCCGCCGATGCTGAGCGGGTTCGAGAAGGAGCCGGAAGACGTCGCGCTCTGCCTGCTGATGCTCTCGCGCGACACCGGCATGTGGAGCTCGCCGGCCAAAGAGGAGCCTTTCGAGAGCGCGGAGAAGCAGGCGGGCCTCCCAAGAAGCGGCTACGCTTACAATTCCGACGACGACTCAGCTCTGCTCCAGTCCGCCGACGCCAAGATCAAGGGCCGCGTCGCCAAGAGGAGGAAGCGAGGCTCCCCGAAGCAGCGACGCGATCTCGTGGCGCCGAAGCGGACCCGGTACGAGTGCCCGGGGTGCGGCAAAGTGTTCAGCTCGTACCAGGCGCTCGGCGGCCACCGCGCGAGCCACAAGCGGATCAACGCCAGCTGCAGCTCCCCCAAGGTCACCCCCGCCGCCGCGTCCTCCACGCCGGAGCCAAGCACCGAGACGTACGCGTCGTTCAACACACTGTCCCCCTCCGTGTCGCCGGACTCGGTGGCCATCGGCTTTGGCAAGCCCAAGGACGAAGCGGTGGGCGACGCGAAGTTCGAGTGCGCGGTCTGCTTCAGGGTGTTCGCGTCGGGGCAGGCTCTCGGCTGGCACAAGCGGTCGCATCTGATGCCCTCCGAGTCCGACGACGTCGAGCTGTACTACGTTAACGGCGCCGGCGCGGACCACCAGGAGCAGCATTCAGCAGCCGCGGACGGGTTCCTTGATCTCAACTTCCCACCGGCTGTACCGGAGGAGGCTTGAAGCTCGGCTGCGATGGCTGTACTGAACCAAGCTTGATCCGGAAGCGATCAATGGGGGCTCTGTACAGAAGAAGAGTTCGAGTTTTCTCCCAGGTTACTTAATGTTTTTTTTTCCTTTAGCATTTCTGTTCTTCAGGGCACTAGATCAATAAGCCTGCCTTTGATGATATTCTGAGCTCGAGTAGCCGAGTTGGTTCAGTTTAGCGGATGCTAAGATTAGCTCGAAAGCTATCCATCTTCTTACTCGGTCAGTATGTTATTTTTAACTTTACCATCTGCTTGCTCAAGTCCATTAGCAATTCCCCGTGAATTTCTGAGTCAATGCTAGCCTTTGCTCTGCTCCTACCTTTGCTCACCAACCTGAGGTAATTGTTGCCTCAAAGTAACCAATTGCTTCAGCCGCTGCATGCTCAGTGTACTACGGTACTGTCATGCGACTGGTTGGTGGCTTTGCATGCTACGGTTCACTTCATACCAGAGAGAGAAGCAAGCAACAAGAGTACAGTACTGCACCTCTCTCTGACAGACAGCAAAGCAACGCAAATTGTGCATAAAGATTAGAAGGCATTGTGTTGTGCAAGCTAGATCAATGGAGGTATCGAGTATGTGAGCCAAGCGAAACAGCAGGGGAGCAGCAACTTCAAGCAAGGGATGGGCCGACGAGTACAGTGATAGAAGCTCAGGAGCTGCAAACTGAGATCTTGTTTAGTTCAAAAACTTTTCCTAAAAAGTGCTAGAGTAGCTATCACATCGGATCTTGCGATATGTGTATGGAGCATTAAATGTAGACGAAAAAAAAAACTAATCGCACAGTTTGGTTGGAAATTACGAGACGAACGTTTTGAGCCAAATTAGTCCATGATTGAACACTAATTGCTAAATAAAAACAAAAAGTGCTACAGTAACCCACTTTTCAAATTTTGACCAACTAAACGAGGCCTAAGTCTTTATGCAAAATGATTGGTTAGGACAGTGGAACAGCAAATCTTTATGCAACAATAGGTACTGCTGAAGAAAGAGATTTGGCATGCATGTGTATGATGGCATGTGGGATCAGTCAGTGCAGTGTGCAGAGGGGTTGTTCACTTGTCCACCAGAACACTGGACAAATCTTCTCACTCCCCGTTCCTTTCTCTCTCTGTTTCATCCCCACTCTACTCTAGACTTCTTTGTTGCTTTAGCAAGCCTGCTCCGAGATAGTTTATAAGCCGCCTTATAACACTGGAGAAGCCAGTGTTCGGCTGTTATTATAAGCTGGCTTATAATTTATGATATAATATTTTTCTCTTTCAATAAATTAGCCGTATAAATTAGCATCAGCGGCTTTACGAACAGCCGAACAGTGTTGTGTTCTTTAGGGAGTGTTCGGCTACCATTATAAGCCGGCTTATAAGCCATGGTACAATATTTTTCTCTTCCAACAAATCAGCCGTACAAATCAGTACAAGCGACTTTACGAGCAGCCGAACAGAGCCGAGATAGTTTATAAGCCGGCTTATAACACTGGACAAGCCTTTAGGGAGTGTTCGATTGCCATTATAAATCATGTTACAGTATTTTTCTCTCCCAACAAATTAGCCGTCTAAATCAGCACAAACGGCTTTACGAGCAGCCGAACATATCTTTTTCTCCTTCTGTTTCTCACTCTAGAGAGTAGAGACGCACAGACAGCTCACGCGATTGTTGTGTTGCTCATGTCTCTTTCTTGCCGGCTTCGTTGAACTAGCTTTGCTTTAGGAGGCACACAGGACACTTGCTCATTGCTGCAACTCCTGCCGGCTGCCGAAATTCTATAGTCCACAATTCCAGAGCACAGAGTTCGCATGCATCCAGCAGGAGTTTAATCCTTCTCTTGTTTGGACCGGAGGTGTTACCAGCTGTGCTCATCGCGCGCGCGTTTGTTCAGGTCACATCTGTGTAGTAGGCTAGTAGCACATTCCTTGCTTCAGTTCAGTAAACTAGCACATCAGAGATTCAGAGAACAATGTTCCATAGGTACATTGTGCAGAAGCGCGCGTGTGTATATATACTGTATGAATACCATGCATCTTTATAATTGCTATACGATTGCCAAGATGCAAGCAGTTCTTGTGACGCTTGATGGTTACGGTTTTTTTAAGAAGCAGATGCGATGGCGATCTCCAAGCACCTCTTTTTATGGGTGCCAATAGGATGGGACCACACACGGCTATATGCCGGTCTTCTTCCCCATCCTATCCTATTCGGTGGAGCTCTCGATGCTGGTAACCCACAAGTCGAGCAAGGCTTCTCTTTTCTTTATGGCGCGAAAGATTGGGAGATGGCCTCATTTTGACCACAGTTACTATATAGCAGAGCCAATCGGTGTGCAGTCTGTGATTGTTGGCTTTGATTCTGCATAGTGCAGACCCAAGCTGATGTGCTTCAAGCAAGAGTCTGCATTGTACTTTCTAGCAGTGGTCCATGCATGGTCATGACTGTCTTCCTGGTGCTTGCAGAAAATATATTTCAGAATACCATTGTGGATCAAAAGAGCATAAGGGCATAATTAGTCGATTTGCCAGTTAGCTTCCATTTGTCTTACAATTAGTTGTAAGAGGAGATGTTGGATATAGTTCTTGACCGAGCAATTTCTTAGTCTCCATTAGCATTGACATGAATTGGTCGCCTCCAATCAACAGGGCATTTTATATTGCACTACTTTTTACTCCAATTTCACTCCGAAACAAACTGTAAGATCTTTGATCAGCAATGATGTCCCTAGACATCCTTGGAATAGCAGGTGCCACAACCCACAAGCCAAAGCCTAGAAGGAAATGAGCTGTCACAAGCTCTTCTTGCATCTAGACAAAGGCCCGGGTCACACTCCAACTTGCGACGAGAAGGATATGCATGTATATATATACACTTGCAGAGGAATATTGATCATATCTGGGTAATGACTTGCTTGCAGAGACAATGGGAGGAGATATATACATAATATACTCATCCATAAACAAAGCCACGAGAGGGCATTGGTGTCATGGTGTGCAGGCAACTTCTGTTAGTGGTTCCCACAAATGTGTGCCCAACCAAACCAGACACCTCTCACCACTGCACACGGAGCCATTGCTCTGTTGCCTTGTAACCACTTAAACCAACCTTTCTTTAGCAGCCAGGACAGATCCAGATCTGCCTGCTTCAGCGGTCAGTACAATGCTACTAAAATTAGCCAGGCGAGAGGGGTCTCAAAGACAGGAGCTCTAATTGGGTGCTTGTGGCCGGATTAGTCGGCAACCACTAGCTGCGAAGATGCCATAAATTGTGGTTAGCCATTTTGACTTTGTGGCTATGTTCTTTATTTGTTTCTTCTTCTTTTTCTTTAGAAAAAAAGTCTATATTACCCCCTCCAAGTTCGGTTAATGTTCAAATAACCCACCAAACTCACATTTGGTTCAATTTACTCCCTCCAACTATTTAAGTTGGTCCAACTAACACCTTAAAGAGAATTTTCTTTTTTGTTTTTCTATGTACAAATTATATTTTAGTTTCAAATTTTGTGAGGTGATAGAGGACATTGTATTTTGTGTTATGAATTTTTCATCATTATGTTTTATACGATATTGTATCTCTAGTGTTAATTGTCGGTGCGGGACCCACAGGATACTCCGCAGGGAGGAGAGAAGATCTAGTCTAACTAGGATTTTCCCCATGTAATCTTAGTAGTAGTATTATCCTGTAATCCTACTAAGAACTCTCATTGTAAACCGACTAGGATTCTGACCTCTTAACTATATAAAGGAGGGCAGGGTTCCTAGAGACAGGAGATCACGATTTTCTACAACACAACAATACAACGCAAGGGCTAACGCCGGCTGGACGTAGGGTTATTACTCGATCAACGATCGAGGGCCCGAACTAGGATAAATCGACCGTCTCTTGCGTTCACCGTCGAGTTCCGCATACGCTGAAGCCCGAACAATACTGCCCCGGGGACCCCCGTAGCAGGCTATCGGTGGTAAAACATCGACAGCTGGCGCGCCAGGTAGGGGCTTTCGGCGAATTTGCATCCGAGAGCTCGATGGACCTCAACAACATGATCTTCTCGACGGGATCAACTTTCATCTTCGACTCATGAATCTGCGAGGCAGACGACAATGGCAAGCTCCAAAGCCGTCTCCTCGAAGATTCGAAACACCATGAAGACTATTCTATTCCGACGACTACGACGGACCAAATCTCAGGAAGATTCGCGCAACTCATGGTGTCCGATTCAACTCAGGTTTCGAGGCTTTGCGCATCCGACTCGAATTCAAGCTCCGCTTCCGAGACAGAGTCTTATCCGAGTTCTTTCGAAAAACCGAGTTCTTTTCCGATGAGACTCCAAAACGCGGCCTCGGCATATCAAGAAAACAACTCGGAGAACACTCAGAATCTTTTCAAGAAGTCAGGACTTTTTTCATTCGGACTCCACAACATGGCAAAGGCTTCTCAGGCACGGCTCGAAGGATCCCTTGATCCGGTGCTTAGAATGCCACTAAAAGGAGCTCAGGGAGGTCTCGTACTGACTATAACATCTCAAGATTGCATCGTCCACTTTGGCAGACTCTGTTCTCGAGGATAGCAAGATACCGTTTCGGCGACTACGACGACAACGACTATTCTACCTTACCAAGAAGGAGATTCGATCTGCGACTTTGAGGCCTCCACTAAAGTTATCAACAACTCCGACAAAGATGGAAACTAATGCCAATAATGTAACAATTCACGCACGGAAGTACTCATGGTTCACCGTCCTCGGTCACCATTGGTCCCCCTGAGCGCCTAATATCGAGTCATCGGATGAATCGAGAATCCAACATATCACCCTTTGCCCAGAGCTACGATGGTGAAATCGAGAATCAAAAACAAGCTAGAGAAAGAAAAAACAAGTTGAAGCAAGGATCGCCAACACCGCGCTAGGCGGCCGCAGGAAAGCCTGATCGAGATATGAGTCGAGTTGGCGAATACGACGTAAGAAAATCACAACGAGAAGTCGAAGAA